CAGTCTGTTTAAGGTGGATTCCTCTAGTTTTTCCAGCCCTCCTCCTCCCCAGGCTGAAGAATCATCTTTGTCAGGTTTCTTCTTCCCCGGGGCTGCTTCTCGCAGCGTGTCCTTCGGGCAGTCACAGCATCTTTCCTCCTTCCTTGTAAGCCTCGGCTGCTTGGACATGGCCATCACTCAGTCTCCTTACCTTTTCTTCTCTTCTAACCCTCTCTGACCAATATTCTGCTTCCCTGAGCGCGCACAGGCAGGAGGCCTCGGCTCTGCCCCAGAGCCCTGTTGGTGCCCTCACTCCTGAGCAGTCGCATTGTTGCCTCATCCCCTGGGGCTTTCCCTCCCTCAGCTGCTGCGGGCCTCGTCGCCCGGCCACTGCCTCTTGTTTTCTTCATGGGCTCCTTTTCTGTGACTTGTCCCAGGATTCCTCAGCATTCTGCCCTGGTTGCCTCCTTTTCTCACAAGGTGTCCCCTGGATCACCTTTCTCCGTCCATAAGACAGGCATAGGCCTCTCAGGTTTAAATTCCTGCCTAGTTCTCTTTCCCGAGTAGCAGACTTAATTTCACTTGGTTTTGGGTAGGTGCCTCAAACTCAGCTTATTCAAAACTCTGTAGTTCCCACTCCCTTCCTCTGCTCCTGATTTCATTATTCACCTAAGTCAGAAACAGAAAATTTTTGTGTCATCCCTGGTTTTCTCTTGCTCTGGTGACAATATAATAGTGTCATCACTTACCTGTTTCTCTTCTATTCTGAGTTAGCCACAGGGTTAATTGCTAATGCTGATGTGTGTGTGTGTGTGTGTATGTGTGTATGTGAGCGAGCGCGTACAAGTGTGTAGCATATAGCTAATGATGTATATGAATATATGTATATATGTATTCTTTTTGTTTATTGATCCATTTTTTAAAACTAGGAAATCCTTTCTGTAGCTCTCATTTTTCTAGTATATTTACCAATGGCTTAGGTTTTGATGCTCTTAAATGAGGGAAACATAAGACCACAAGCCAAATTATTTTAAAATTGAAAAATAAGTCTAGTGTATAAAATGTGACAGGGAAATTCAAGAAATCAGACTGAGAAGGAGAAGATTTGCTTTTCATTCAGATGGCATCTCCCTGTGTCTGGGGGAGGTTGTGGAGTAAAGACCTTCCCACATCTGCTCCTCCTGCATGCCTGGTCTGAGTTGGGACCCCATGGCATCTTTCCAGCATTTGGAACCTTGTTTATTATCAGGGTCCTTCTTCTCCCTTGTTTTAGTTTATTAAGTTAGAGAATTTTGCCAGTGTCACCTCCATTTCTAATATTCTTTTATCCCGAATCCAAATCTCAGGATGTTTAATGAATCAGCTTGTCATTCCCATCTGATTGACCATTGAGCTGTGATGGTTCTTTCTCAAATTACAGGTCTGTTCCTTTCATCTCCATTATCATTATCTAAATTGGAAATATAGCCCACAGTTTTTGTTTGGCCTGCTTTATCATTCTTCAACTTTAATGCTGTTTTCCAACCTTTCCTTTGTACAACTCTCTTTACTTAACTCTCGGGTCTTCATTTTCCATTTTCTTGCCACATCTTTGATCTCTTTTTAGCGCCCCCCCCCCCCCAAAAAAAAAATAGGTGTCCTCTGGATTCTACCCTCTGGATTCTGCCCTCTGGATTCTACCCTCTGGATTCTGCCCTCTGGATTCTGCCCTCTGGATTCTGCCCTCTGGCTTGTGGTCTCTCAGGATTCTGTCTGGGCACTCTCAGCCACACTCATGATTTCAGCTTCCACCATCTGTTGACTCCAGAATCCTTGTCCTTGGTGCAGACTCTTTTGCTGAGCCCTAGATCTGTGTCATTCAGTTGTCTACCAGAACATTTTCTGGAGGTCTGCAGAACTTCAAATAGAGTAGATTTGACAGATAACACATCACCTTCTGTCTCAGACTTCATCCTTCTTTGTTTTGTCTTGATGTAGTTCACCACCAGTTGTCCATCATCCAGCGGAGACACCGGGATCACATTAAGGCCTGCTTCCTCACCCTCCACTTTCACTGTGTCACACAGAAATTCTGTCGATTTTTTTAAAAAAATCATCTTTTATTTTTTTTATTTTTGTGGTACTGGGATTGAACCCACTGGGCGCTCTACCCCCAAGCTACATCACCAGCTATATTCATCTATTTATTTATTTTTATTTTGAGAAAAGATCTCACTAAATTGTCAAGACTGACTTTGAACTTGTGATCATCCTGCCTCAGCATCTGAGTTGCTAGGATTCCAGGCATTTGCTGGGGTTCCAGGAATGTGTTTGTGCACCGGACTCCTGAATTCTATTGATTCTACTGCTTAAATTCTGAACTCTCAAATCTGCCTTCACATTTTGGTCTCACTGCTAAGCCTGGATCTTTGTTGTTTCTTGTCTGATCATTTTACTGTTTCCTAATTACTCTCCTATTGTGTAGATCCCCCCCCCCTTTTCTCCCTGCTTCCTAATATAACACCCACAGCTACAATTGGAGTGCTTACTATGTCTCAAATTTTACATGTAAAACATTTTGCATACATTCCCATCTCACAACCACAGGGAATAATTATAATCCTTGTACACTGGCCTCACAAATAGCAAGTGGGGGAACAGTTTCTTGGTCAGCTTTTTTGTCACTGTGACCAAAAGACTTGACAAAAACAATTAGAGGAGGAAAAGTTTATTTGGGGGCTTTCAGTTTCAGTCTCAGTCCATGGACGGCTGGCTCCATTCCTTGAGGCTTGAGATGAGGCAGAACTCATGATGGAAGGGCGTGGCAGAGGAGAGAGGCTCAGGACATCCCGTCAGGAAGCCGAGAACTAGCTCCACTCAACAAGGAAGGACACCCCTGTGACCCCCCCTCCTCCAGCCACACCTTACCAGCCTGCAGTCACCACTCAGTTAAGCTCTTTTGGGGATTAATTCACTAATTGGGTAAAGGCTCTCATAAGCGAATCCTTTCACCTCTAACTCTTCTTACATTGTCTCACATGAGCCTTTGGGGGCACCTCACATCTAAGACATAACGAGCAGGGACTTAGGTCGGCGGTGTGCTGCAGAACCCCATAGCTCACTCACAGCCTCTGCGTGGCCTTCGAACCCCCCCCCCCCCCCCCCCAGCCAGCCTCTACCTTACTTTTTCATTGCCTCCTACTCTGCCTGAGTGGACCTAGAATTTTGGTCCTTTGGAACTTCTTGGTCTTCCTTAAAGGTGTCATACTTTCTTATACCTTTGTGTGTTGGGACATGTTGCTTCCTCTGCCTTGAGATCCTGCCTTTATCCTTCAAGGCCCAGCTTAAGTGACATTTCCTTTTGGAATGTCATCACTGTCCTGTTCCTTAGTTTGCTCCTGTTTTGTTCCCATGACACCCAGTATGCACAACTGCTATCTTTATATTTATAAATATATATATATATATAATCATATTTAAGTAAAAATTTAAATTTTAGGATAGTTTTAAAGTTAAAGGAACATTGGCAAAGGTGGCATAAAGAGTACCCGGAAAGTCCACACACCCCGTGTCCTTGTTGTTAATGGCCTGTGTCATTGTAGTGCAACTAGAAAACGAATATTGGCATGTTGCTCTTGACTAAATTTCATACTTCAGTGGGATTTTACCAGTTGTTCCCTTGGCCCAAGACCCCATGTGTGCGAGCACACTGCATTTGGTTGTAGTGTCTCTAGTTTCTTCTCATCTGTGACAATTTTTCAGATTTGCCTTTTCTTTAATGACCCTGGTAGTTTTGAGAAGCACCAGTTAATTTTATTTTCATATATCCCTCAATTTGGGTTTTGTCTGATTTTTATTTAATTTTTTTATGATTAGATGAGGCTGTGGGTTTCTGGAAAGAAGCCACAGGAGTGAAGTGCTCTCCCATTACATCATATCAAGGGCGCACGCAGCAGCAGGACCTGCCACTAATGATGCCGACCTTTCGCAGGACTAGCTGGGTCCTGACTGTCAGCTTCCTTCCTACCCCTCTTTCCATACTCAAGTCTTTGGAGGCAAGTTGCAGTTACAGCCGACCCCTAGTAGGGGGTGGTAAACTCCACCTGTGGAGGAGAGATTATCAACATAAATTAATTGCAGTTCCTTTGTTAGGAGGAATTATTTATTCATTTAATTATATCAGTATAGATTCATTTATGTTATGCTTTGGATTATAATCACTGTTATTTATTTTGTTGCTCAAATTGTTCCAACTTTGGCCATTGGGGGCTCTTTGGGTTGGTTCCTGCATCCCTGTAACATGCCCATCTCAGCCCTAGAAGCAACCATTTCTCCAAGAAACCCTAGTGTTTTTTTTTTTAAATTAGAGAATGACATTGGGAGGCAGTCTAGGTGCTGGTTGTACAGGTGTTGTGAGGGCATAGCTGCTCCTGTGCCTTTCCAGTGACAGAGCTAGGAAGTACACACGGAGACCCATCCAAGCGTAGAGCATGAGTTCACGCAGCACCTCTGACTGTGTTGCCCCCTCCTCGCTGCACCAGCACATGCACGTCATGCTGTACTTTAAGCTTTGACTTTGTCCTGTCTCCCTCACCAGGCTGTAGGTACTTGGCCATCTGTGTTGAATGAGTGATGAATCTTGAAAATGTAATATCTTACAAAAAAGTTTATTTAGCATTTTAGAAAAGTCAATTTAAATACATCTTACTCTAAAGTTTGAAGCAAAAAAGTAATATCTGTAAACATTGGCTATTCTAAACCCTGATGAATGTCAGCATAGTTTTGGCATGCTGTTTCAGTTGTTTTCTTTAAATGTATTCTAAAAGTAGAATTGCTGGTTAAGGTGCATTTTAAAGTTCTTGGTTATATTTCTGGGATGAGGTTTTTACATTTAAGCATCTGATTTTACAGTACTGCCCTTCTGGGATGTAATCTTCAGCATCTTTGGGCTCTTGCATTCCTCTTTTGAAATTATGATAAATAGTTTTCTCTTTAAAGCCAGGAGCTTACACCTGTTCATGCTGATTTATTTCCTTGTGTAGAGTATTGTGTCAAAGAACGCGCTGCAGTATCGGGGGAATTCCCAGCATGATGCCCAGGAGTTTCTGCTGTGGCTTTTGGACCGAGTTCATGAAGACCTCAATCATGCTGTAAAGCAGAGTGGCCAGCCTCCTCTGAAGGTGAGGACCTGCGCTCTCCCTGCTTCAGTTGGGGAGCAGTGCAACCTTTTCTCCCCAACCTCCACTGAGGACTTGTTGCATTTAGTTAATAAAATGAAATTGACTAAATGCTGGGTGAGTATAAAATTAAGTGGATCCTTTCATGAATATTCCATCTTATTTGCTACTGTGTGGCAGTGTAAGGCACAAGAGATGTGGTCTCTGCTCACATCCTTGTTTAATGAGAGTGGAAACATTTGCTCTCCAATAAAACTTACTCGGCATCATTAGGATGAACACACAATCCAAAAGGAAATGTATGGAAGCTGTTGGAATTGGCTTTGAGCATAGGAACTGAACCTCCAGAATGGTCTTACTAGAAACATGACGGTTGTACTCCTTTTTTTATACACGTAGCCTTAATATGATAGGTATTATGATGTATATAATGGAAACAGTTTAAGACTAAAGAGATACTTTCCAAAGCAACTTTTAAAAGTTTTTGCTAATTTTGCTCTGTTTTAAATTTCAAATTTCTAGTTTTGGTAGGTTATTAAATTATTCTGATCAAGATCCCTTTGTGCCTACACACTCTAGGCTGTCATATGACTTTATGCATGTTGCTGACTCTCCCACCAAATTGAGACCTCCTCAAGGTCACTGTGTCTTATTTACATTTTTGTCCTGAGGTTCTGTACAGTGCTCTGCATGTGGTAGTAAATGCTCAATAGCTAGTCCTTAGGTGGAGGGACATGAAAAGTAGAATGTGATTAGACTTCAGAATGAATAGCCCAGCTAATAGCTGCAGTAGAATTTAGGCATGTGGAGAACTGTCCTTTCAAAGTGTTTGAGCTTTTTTTCTTGGAAGAGGTTGCGGGGTTGGGGTGCTTTGAGAGTTGGAGGGAGATTGGAGCATCCTGGGGAAGAAGAGCTGCCCCATCCCTGAATGGGCTGGAGGTGGAAAAACCTGGTCTGTCTGAGGAGATGGGTCCATGTGACTTACACGCTGTTTGCTATTCTTTGGTTCCTTTAGCAGGTGCCTGTCACTGAAGTATCTGGACATGATATGTAGCTTATAAAAGAAATTAAGGCAATTATGACTTTTTAGATTAATCTTCAATAAAAAATTGGTACTTCTAGTCTATGAATTGTATTTTTCTTTTTTAGCCTCCATCAGAGACTGATGGCATGCCTGAGGGACCATCTTTTCCTGTGTGTAGCACTTTTGTACAAGAACTTTTTCAAGCCCAGTACAGGTATGAACAAAGCAAATGTTCCCTCATATTTTGACATAGTTCAAGGTGATCTTAATGTGAATATCTTACGTTTTTGTTTTCAAAGATCTTCTTTGACATGTCCTCATTGTCAGAAACAGAGCAACACTTTTGATCCTTTCCTCTGCATTTCTTTGCCAATTCCTCTACCCCATACAAGGTAAGAATAGATTTGTAAAATTAAGACTGTACACTCTGATAGTATACCTTTTCCTCTGTAAACTACTATTACATCTTTTACTTATTTAGGCGAGTAATAAATTTAATGATAATTTTAATACATGCTTTATTAATTCCTTAAAGAAATAAGTACCTGTCTAAGTTTGCAGGTGAGCCTCAGGTTCAGCTTGTCATTCGCAGACAGTATGGGGAAGGAGGAGGAATGTTGATTGACTTCTAAATTCTCTGGAGACTTTGCATTGTCCTTGTAATTAGGACAGTGTTCCTCAAAACTTCCAGGAGTTAGGTTGTTTCAAAGGAAATACAAAAGACAGAATCAAGCCTTGTTCAGTTTTGTTTTATGAATATTGCCTTTTCCAAATTGCCAATATTGCCTTCTCTCTCTCTCTTTTTAAGGTACTGGGGATTGAACCCAGGGACGCTTAACCACTGAGCCACATTCTCAGCCCTTTTTTAATACTTTATTTAGAGACAAGGTCTTGCTGAATTGCTTAGGGCCTCACTAAATTGCTGAGGCTAGCTTTGAACATGCAGTCCTCCTGTCTCAGCCTCCGAAGCTGCTGGGATTGCAGGCATGTGCCACTGCTTCTGGCTCTCCAAAGATCTCTTGATTGTTGTTTTGATAGTTCTACTTAGGTCCAAATGAACTTTTTAAATTCGGTTTCTAAAAAGAAGTAGGGATTGCTTCAGTTTTTGGGTAGATTTCAGATCAGGTCTATTTTATTTCTATTTTTAGTTAAAATAAGTGACTAATGAGAAGATCTGACTTTGATCTGTACAGGCCTCTCTATGTCACTGTAGTGTATCAAGGGAAATGTTCTCACTGCATGAGGATTGGTGTGGCTGTGCCTCTGTCTGGGACTGTTGCCAGACTTCGGGAAGCAGTGTCTGTGGAAACAAAGATCCCCACTGATCAGGTAATAATGCTGCCAAGACCCACTGCATGTGAGCCACAAAGGTGCTGATTCTGTTTCTCTGAAATTTTTTATAATTCTTTGCCAAATATGGTCACTTAGATATTTAAAACCAGTTACATGTAGTCTGAGGGGAAAAAGAAATCAAGACCCATAAGAATAAAATGTATAGAAAACTTTTCATCCTTCATTTAATCACACACACACACACACACACACACATACACACACATATGTGTATGTGTATGTATATTTGTGTGTTTGTATATTTGAAAGGAAAGGCTTATATTTTACATCAAGACCTTCTTGTAGCTTTGTTCATATAGTATAATTACTTAATCCCTCCTAAATTCTTACGGTTGTGTATGTGAACAATAGAAGAACATTACTGTGATGTTTGATAATCAAATAGGCTTAGAGAACTCTAGAACACCTCTTCCCATTATGGTGATGAGAATGGACATCTTGCTAGTATCATGTCTTGCTCACAGTACATACTCAGTGTGTTTCACCCCACCCCCACCCCCGCCAAATCCTGGTGTTGAACCCGGGGCCTCCTGCATGCTGGACAAAGTGCTTTACCAATGAGCTACTCCTTCAACCCTATTTTGTATTCTTATTATAACTGGACCAGAGTCTCTTACTTGTTGAAATAAGGGAAAGTTGTGATTCTGTTTTTGGGGGAGTGGATCTTTGATAAGTAGTTAAAGTTTAAATGACCTAAAATGTTTTGGCCTCTTTGTGACTTGACATGTTTTTACATACAGTTTTTATTCAGTTCACTTATTATTTCATTTGGAAAAACATCCCTTATTTAAGATTTGACTTCATAGCTAAACAACTTTTCCCTAGATAGCTTCTGGAAGCCACTATGTAATTACTTGAACAATAAAGGTGTTTTGTAGTCTGGCCTCATGTGGCCTTGGTTGGGAAGTTAACCACAGTAAAACAAACACAACCAGCAGTGTGGCCGCAATATAGCAAATCTCTCATATTTTCATAGGCCTCGCACTGGCACATTGATAAAATGTTCATATTCTTCCTTACTCTGAAGAGCTCATTGATTCTTTTTTCCCCTCCAGGATGAGGGAAAGACGGAGAGGGAGGGAGAGAGACTTTGGTGGAGTCCAGAGAAAATCTGGTTGCATCTTTAAAGCTTCAGTGCTGTCTGGCTCTTTGTGCATGTGGTTCAAATTGGTGAAATAATTACAGTTTGCATTGACCTCGGCTTGCTGGGGAGAGGGAATTATATTTGCGTGTTCACCAGCAGAAAAACAGCATGGCCAAGAATTCATTAGAAGGAAACCCGCCAGGAACATTTTCCCTGGGCTATTTGTAGAATAGGTCACCAGCTCCTTTCACTTCATAGACTGAAGAACGTTAATGCTGATGGGGGACCTTAGGGGTGCAGTGCAACCTCCCCCCTGCCCCTTTTGAAGGAGGCCAAGAGAAACCATGTGATTTCTGCAAAGTCACAGGGCTGGTTGGTGGCAGGCTGGGACAGGAACCTTCTCTTGCCCAACCCAGTGCTTTTTTACCAGACAATGATGCTGAGCCTGTAACGAGGCACTAAATGTCTTCATTGTTTTCCCCTTATCTTTTGTTTTTCTGTTTCACTGTAAAATACTTAACCATTTCAGAAGTATAACTTAGAAAGTGGAAGTATCCCAATACTAAATATTTTCCTGTATTGTACTAACTTTAGTACTGTTACATAGTGTTCATTCAGATTTTTTATGTGCATACGCTACATTATTTTATAAAAACATTGTTTATACATAACTTTTTTTTAACCTTACTTTTTTCCTTGTTAGTGCAAATATACTTTTTTTAACCTTACTTCTCGTTAGTGCAAATATATGTGCTCATTCTTTTTTAAATAGCTTTATAATTCTAGTAGAACTATAATATATTTCATTAGTGACTGTTATTGGACATTTGAGTTGATTTCATTTCCCCCCGGATGTCCGTGATTATTTGGCATTTTCAATCTGAAAAGGGGGAAATTTAATGATGAGGGAGCAGATGCTACAGTCAGTTGTGAACTCTGTTCTTGGCATGAGACGGAATAGTTGTGCATCCTTAGGTGGGTTTCTCAGCCTCTCTTTCCTCTGTAAAACCAGAGGGTTAGACGTAGAGTCTCCTGGTTCTCTTTTGCACCAAAACCTAAAGGAACTCTGGGTTAATGCCATAGATTTCTGAAACGGTGTACATTGTTACGCAATCATAGGTGATATTGTGCTTCTAAGATTCTCTCACTGAAAGCAACAATGAGGGCCTGCGGAATATTTCAGAGCCTTTTTAGAGCGCTGCCAAGTCTTGATGGTCCAGAGAAGTTCATGGTGGAATTAGAAGATCATTTTGTATTGAATTTCCAGCTATCCAACTATTTTTATTTTCCCCACATTTCAGATTGTGTTGACAGAAATGTACTATGATGGGTTCCACCGTTCCTTTTGTGATACAGACGACCTGGAGACAGTCCATGAGAGTGACTGCATTTTTGCCTTTGAGACTCCAGAAATATTTCGGCCTGAAGGAATTCTCAGTCAGAGAGGTAAAGGAGCACCTGTTTCCATGCCGTTACCTGAGCTCTCAGGCTTGACAACTGTCTCCCCTTTCAGATATAATATCATGATATAAATATTTTTTAATTATGAGAAAGTGCACACAATGCTGTCCACTCAGATTTTCTTTATCTTTTGCCTGACAGTTGTTTTTCTTGCTTTCAGTCAAATCCCTATTTCTCTGCCAATAATCTTTCTGAACCCCAGACCTTATTCCTCTTCATTGAACATCTGACTCCTCAACTGCCTGTTGCACAAAGTTTTCCACACTCCTCTATGGTGCCCTGCCTCACCAGCTTTCTCTCCCCACTGGTGCAGATTTACTTTAAGCTACTTGTAGTCTCTAATTGTCTATGCATGAGTGTTTTAATATTTCTGTTCTATTTAAAGGCTATGTTATGCACCTTTTAAAAATTTGTTTTCTTAACTTACTCAGAGAACATAGATGCACCATGTTACATACCTTTTTAAGATTTGTCTTCATACTTATTCAGAAATCACTTCTTGTGTTACCACCAGACCTAATGTTGTTCTGTATCTCATTGCAACAGGAATTTGTGTTCCTCAGTGATACATAAGAGTATTAATAAGTAGTGGTTCTGAATATTAGGTGGTAAGCTCTTTTCACTGCCAGCTTAGTATTTAATTTTGTCTGGCCCACTGATGTTTCTCTCTCCCTCTCTCTCTTTTTATATATATTTATTTTTTAGTTTTAGTGGGACACAATACCTTTATTTATTTCTTTATTTTTATGTGGTGCTGAGGATCGAACCCAGTGCCTTACACATGCCAGATGAGTGCACTACCACTGAGCCACAACCCTAGCCCCTGCTTATTTTATTTTCAGGTACTCTGTTATTTCAGTTTTCATTCTTCTTTGACCCAGGAACTTTCTTTTCTTCCAGTTGTTGCATTTTCATTCATATGCTTTCGTTTACTTAAATTATTTTCTAATTTTATTACATTACAGTAAAAACACCCAGTCATCACCTGTTCAGAAAGCCTTCTGAAAGTTCTGTCCTCTGACCCCAAGGCTGGCTAACTCCCGCTTTTCTGTGCTCCATTGCTTCTGCTATCTCTTAAGCTAGCGTGTGTGTGGAAATGATCTGTTTTCTCCTCTCTTTCCCATCATCTCTTTCCCAGTATGATGAATTATAAGAATTCTTACAAATTCTTATAATTCAACCCCAAAACTACAATGTGACTTACGAGAGTTGTGACCACTCTTTGCTTCATTTTTTAATACACAGCAATTCCTAATATGTAGCAAAAGCCCAGCTAATGATTGTTCAACTGAACATTTTCCCAAATTCCCTTTCTCATCCCCAGTTGTTTAGGATTAACACTATGTGTCTATTCTGAAGTGAATTTGGTAAGTCCAAATTTATCACGTGTGTTTTGGCTTCTGATCTAAAGACCTTATGAATGTTTGGCCCAGCACATGTGAGGCATCCGCTTTCTTCACTCTGCTTAGGAGGGGGCTGTGGCTGAGAGCAGTGAACTAACTGGCCCCAGGTCACATGGCTGTAGGAGATGGGTCCATAATTTGAACACCCAGTTTGATTTCTGTTTAGTTGAGTGGCATTCCCTTATCTCATTAGGGTTCTGACCGCTTCTAGTGACCTAAGTCTTCCCGCCCTGACCTCTGTCAAGAACCTGGGAAAGGAGGTCATTCATTGTTTCAAATTCAGATTTATAATATCTTTTATTCTCATACCAAAGTTCACGATGGTTATGAAGTGAAATCAACTCTTGTTTCTTTTGGGATTTCTTTATGGTGTCATCACCTGTTCAGAAAGCAATGGGAGCACAGAAAAGCGGGAGTTAGCCCACCTTGGGGTCAGGGGACAGAACTTTCAGAAGCCTAAAAAGTTTTCTTCCCTCTAATAGCTTGATAAAGATTCAACTTTTCTTTATTTCTAGTGTCTGTGATTTTTTTTTTGTCATCCTGTTATTTTGGTATTAATTATGTAGTCATAATTTCAAATTGCTATCATGCTAATATATCTTCAACAGCATCTTGTATTGCTGGATATTTAAGTTACTATCAGAATTCTGCTATGAATAATTTTGTGCAGCCATTTGAATTTTATTCTTCTGATGGTAGTGCTATTATTTATGATGGTGGTGGGAGGGGCTTCTTTATCATTTTACTAGACTCTATACTTCCAACGGATTAAAGAAATGAACTGATATTTAGTCAGTATTTATTGACCTGCTGCAGGGCCTTGTGCTGGATAGCTCTAATTGACAGGGAGGTCTGCTTTAGGACCTTGTGGAGACTAGTACTGTGTCTGCCATATAGCTATTTTTGTTAACTTTAATGTGAGTTGATTCAGTCCAGTTGATTTTGTTAAAGTTGGCATGTTCTTATCATTATGAGAATCTTGTTTCTTGTAATAATCAGGAACGACTTTGGGTCTTGTTTCTTGTACTAATCAGGGATGAGAAACTGCGGTTGGGCTGGGCACAGTGGCACGTGCCTGTAATCCCAGAGGCTTGGGAGGCTGAGGCAGGAGGATCTCAAGTTCAAACCCAGTCTTAGCAATGGAGAGGAACTACCAGTGAGACCGTGTCTGTAAATAAAATACAAACTAGGGCTGGGGATGTAGCTTACAAAATAGTGGTTCAGTGCCCTTGAATTCAATCCCCAGTACCTTGCCCCCCCACCAAATAAAAGAAACTGATATTGGAACGTTATAGACCATTTCAAATGTTCTTGTCTTTATTATTATTTTTTAAAATTTATTTGGTTGCTGGGGCTCAAGTTTAAATTTTATTGCTGGATTATCTCTGCAAATTTATTCTTCTGAAATTGTATCTAACATTTATTGAAGTGGAGAATTTTGATTTTCAGCTTTTAAGATAGGTAAGGCTAATTTAAAGAAAATAATAGATGCTAAAATTTTTTCCTTAAAGGCTACCAGAGTAATTTCATAGGAGAGTATTTGTTCCTATTTTCAATTGTAGTTTAAATTAGTTTTTTTTGAAAGTATTGGGGATTGAACCCAGGGGCACTGAGTTCATCCTTTAGCCTTTTTAATTTAATTTTATTTTTTTGAGACAGGGTCTCACTAAGTTGCTTAGGACTTCACTAAGTTACTGAGGCTGACCTTGAACTTGCAATTTAAAATGACATTTTTTTTTCTGTTGGGTAAATATCTTTGTAATGCATGAGTGAATGAAAATAATTTTGAAGAGATAAAAAGAGTAGTTTTTATTCTGTTTCAGGAATTCACTTAAACAACAATCTCAATCACTTGAAGTTTGGCTTGGATCATCATAGACTGTCTTCCTCTACACAAACAGCAGCAAAGCAAGGGGAAATGGACCTGCCCACCAACAGAGCAGGCAGTGACAAGATTGTCGTGCTGGTGTGTAACCGAGCCTGCACCGGGCAGCAGGGGAGGAGGTGAGGCCAGCTTAATTTCCAATAAGTGCTGAAGCTTTCAAGTTTGCTGCTTTTAAGTGTTTGAAAAAGCAGGGTGAGAAGCCTTACATTTAGCAGGAGTATATGTGTAAGTCGACCTGATTCAGTGGGAGGGGGAGTAAAAGATTATGATGTGAGTTAGGAAGCCTGTTACAGCTCATCTGGTTTTGAAGGGTTATATGAATATTTTAGTTCAGACTCTCTTAGGACGCTGGACCTGTATCCAGATTGATCCATGCTGTCCTTTCCTTTTTAGTTGGTACATGATAATTGTGGAAAGCAGTAGGTTCATTATGATGTACCTATGCACGCACATAACAGAATTTGGTCAGTTTTGTTGCCCAGCACCTCCCTTTCCCTCTCCTCCTTCCCTCGATCCCCACCTTCTCGTCCACTGGTCTCCTTTCTATTTTCATAAAATTTTTTTCCTTCCTTTTTTTCTAGCTTCCACATATGAGAGAAAACACATGACCCTGACTTTCTGAGTCTGGCTTATTTTGTGTCCAATTCTATCGATTTTCCTGAAAATAACATAATTTTGTTCTTTTATGGCTGCATAAAACTTCATATATATACACACACCATATTTTCTTTATCTATTTATTGATAGGCACACAGGCTGGTTCCGAAACTTGGCCATTGTGAATTGTGCTGCTAGACGTGGGTGTGCATGTATGATTATAGTTACTGACTTTAATTCCTTTGGATAAATACTGAGGGGTGGGATAGCTGGGTCTATGGTGGTTCCATTCCTAGGTTTTTGAGAAACCTCTGTGCTCATTTGCATAGTGGTTTATAATCCCACCAGCAGTGTGTGAGTGTTTCTTTCCCATCTCATCCTCACCAGCATTTGTTATTATTTATATTCCTGATGACTGTCATTCTGACTAGAGTGAAATGAAATCTCAGTGTAGTTTTGATTCACATTTCCCTGATTGCTAATGATGTTGAACATTATTTCATAGCTTTACTGGCCAGTTGCAGTTCTGCTTTCTTAATAGTTTTTTAAAAAAAACAACCCTTAATTTATCTAGTTTGGTAGTGCCTGCCTCCCAGTCTTAGGTCTCAAGCTGAGCATTTTATCTTTCCCTATGATACTGGTCCTCCAGTATCTCCTGTTGTGGCAGATGGCACAATTGTTCACTCAGCTTTGCAAATCAGAAATTTGGAACTCAGAAATCTCCCTCAGATTTCTTTTGCTGCCCTAAGAATTTATGGGAACTTTAGACTATCTTTTAAAGTAGCTTTGTCCCAGTAAGGTAAGTACCTTGGATGGTAAATACCACTGATGTGAAATGTGCTAATGTGTATATTTATCGTATTCATTAACAAAGGTGTTAGTGTTAGTGTCAGGCGCTGTTCCAAACGCTAGGAATCCAGCGGAGAGCAACACAGACAGGGCTGTGTCCTCAGGGAGCTTGCACTCCCAGGGCCAGGCTGGCCTTAAGCAAGTGAACAACACATTAAGCTTGAGACAGTTAGCACCGTGTTGAAGACATCAGCGCAGGTTAGAGTGAGAGGGTGTGAGTGAGGAGAGGCCGCAGCTCTGCACTGGAAAGGCAGCTGGGAGGTGGCCCCAGGAGGCCATAGCTGAGCCGAGTCCCTGTGAGGAGGAGCAGGCTGTGTGAACGTCCTGTGTGGCAGGAACACCCTGAGTGGACACTGTAGGAGGCTGTTTAAAGCTTGGGAGAAAAGGCAGCTCCCCATAATGGAGTTTCTTGGAGCCCATTTCACACTACAGTCGTTTTCAGGAGGGTAGGTTCACTGTTAAGTACTATGCGGGTAAACAGCTCCATGACTGTTAGGAATGAGTTTCCCAATGATCTTTTATCTCTGCTTCAGCCTTGGCCTTAGAGCTCCCCTGGTAACTAGGTTGATTGATCATTCCTTAATTCATCATCTGCTATTTTTTAGGCATGGTTGGTTTAGGTTACTAAGGCAAATCAATAACAGTTCTTGTTGTCAGATAACTCAGTCCATTGGTGGAGGCGGAAACACAGTATTTACAGCATAGTGTAGTTAGTGCTATGGCACACATAGGGAGAAAATAACCAGGGTGCTACCTGGAGAAGGGTGTGTTCATGGGTATGAGTAGGAGACAGCCTAGAGAAGGGTGGGAAGGGTGTTCCAAGCTGGGGAGTGGCCTGCACAGAGACCTGGACATATGGAGCTGGACACAGTCAGGGATCAGCACATAGGTTTGCATGACTCTGGATGTAGGTGAAAGTTGAGGCTGGGCCAGTGACCTTCAACTTCAGCTGCATATTAGAACCACCTGGGAAACTTCCGAGAAAATCTCAGTGTTTGGGGCCACATTCCAGACTGATGTCATCAGAATCTCTGTGGGCTGGACTTAGGCATAGTTATTTTTTGATACTCCTTTGGTGATTTCACTGTGCATCTGAGGCTGAGAACCACAGAGCTGCCTTTGATTCTCCAGGACACAAAACCTGGCAGAGGCCAAGTGGTGTCTAGCCTAAAGTGGGTGCTGACTTTCAGTGTGGCTTGCTGGCCAGTGCCTCGCTTGTTGTCAGAGGCTACCAGGACATGGCTGCCTGCCTGTTGGGCCTTCCAGCCCTGCCTGCTCCTCTGGCACCTCCTTGTAGGCTTGACCCACACTGTTTGCCAGATTCTTGTTCATTCCCATCCCCTTTCTCACCATCCCTGCCAACCCTGTCCCTTGTTGCCTGGTAGCCCAGCATCATGCTTCCCTGGAGTCACTTGGCATGGAGGCTGTTGAGTTTTCTTAGAAATCGAGGCTGCACTTCTGACTTTGTCATCTTCTCTTTATGACAGTTACTGTTGACTTGTCTGTTCTGATTTGAGAACTGTCCTAAAACCAATTTATGTTGTCATTCCATTTTAAAAGATGAAGAATAAGGAGTTAGACCATTAAAGGAATTGCCATACTTTTAAGGTGATGCCAGTATTTCTGTGTGGTAGATTTGGACTGCCTTTTGTGCTGCACTTAGAGAAGACGATAGCATGGGACCTTCTGCAGAAGGAAATCCTGGAGAAGATGAAGTATTTCCTGAGGCCTACTGTTTGCATTCAGGTTTGTGGGCATTTTGATATTCTAGCAGAGTGTGCATGTCTACACAGTGAAGAAACAGTCATTAAAATGGAATTTGAATTTGTTTTGTTCAGATTTTCAAGACTGAGAACTTATTTCTCATTTTATGAATGGAGTTGCTCACTGCAAGCTTTCCTGAATTGCTGTATATTCCTTTATAAAATTTATTTAATAAAGTTTGGAGAAGTTGCATAACCATCTGTATATTTTAAAAATGATTACTATGTTCAGGCACCCATGGAAGACCATTAAGTTAATGTTCAGCGAGAGCAGTGTATTATTTGTCTTGTATGACATTTGGTATATAAATTGCATTTGGTTAAATCATATTTAATAGTGTATTTGAGTGGCTCAACAGCCTAACAGAATGTCATAGAGAAGCATTTTGCAAAACAGTTTGCTGTACCTCTAATCTGTTTGGAAATGCCACTGTAAAACATGCCTGTGAAGAGAAAGTCATCCTAATTTTCATTTAATATTTGACGCAGGTGTGTCCGTTCAGTTTGCGAGTGGTCAGTGTTGTAGGAATTACATACTTGCTGCCCCAGGAGGAGCAGCCCCTGTGCCACCCAACAGTAGAAAGGTAAAGAGGAAAAAAAATTCACCTTCCATAATTTCACCTATGCTCACATGTGATGTTTGGTATAATCCCATGTTATGTTCTTTAAGCTCACTAAGAAACTGTGTACTTATTTCAGTTCTGATTCACACGTGAGTATGAAACATTTTATGGATCTTCCTTAAAATAAGAAAAGCCACAGAATATTCATGTTAGGAAAACAAATTACACTTTCCTATTCACCAAGACTGAAGTTTTCCAAAATAGTGTGCTGGTCACACCTCGTTCCTCCTTGAAGCCCTTCAGTGGTGACTTGTGGCCTACGAGGTGAAGGCTGGCTTCCACCGGATGCCAGATTCTCCACAGCCAGGACTCTGAGGACCTCTGTTTTGTGGGTCCTGCTCTTCCTTTCCCTTCCACCCCAAGCCTTCCTCAGTATCAGAGTACCGAGGAGCATTTGCGCACGCAGCACCATGCTGTGTGTGTCCCTTCTCAAGTGTGACTTCCGCTGTCCATAGTGCCTTTTCTTTAAAGTTTCTTTATGCTGTTCCTTTTTCTCTTAGTCGCTGTTCCATGCTGTTTCTGTACTTTCTACATCCTTCTATTATGTTTACAGTAGTCTACTAATAAAATAATGGATATGTGAATACACCATATACATATGGATATATAAATATGAAAACTCACATTCTCTTTATTATCATTTCTTTCAACAAAGAAATTGTGCCTACATTTCAAGATTTTCAAAAGGTACATAACATATTGCTGTTTGAAGGCTCCCTGTTGGTTTTAGAGAATGGGAACTAATAGATAAGATAATAATCAAAAATATTGAACAATATAAAAAAAGATTTGTTGAGTGATTTTAACAGTGACGGCTGAAAGAGTTTCTCAGGAGGTGGCCGAGTCCAGTGAACTGGGGTAGTGGCTTTATGAAGGAGGGAAGAAGGCGGCACAGGGTAGGCACATGGTGTGGAGCAGGTGGAGAGGTGCAAGGTCAGCTCTCCCTGAGTTGGTGGGGAGTCAGGCAAGAGCTGGACAGGTCACATAGAATGTCCGAGAGTAATTGCAACAGCCTTATAGTGTGTTACTAAATATCTTCTAATCTATTTCTTCCATTATTTCTGTATTGGATATTTTAAAGATTTTTTTTTTTTTTTTTAGCCCACTTGTAAACTATTTACTAAACCTATGGTTGTAATGGAGTCACTAAAATCTTTTTCTTCTGGGGGAACTATGAAGATTTTCAGCAATTTTATGATTGTAGATAGGCCATAATCATATTTAAGTAAAATAATTTCTTTTTAAAGATAGAAACATGGAGCTTCTTCTCTCCCCCATTCTATAGGGCATTAAAATCTTGTGGACCAGGTGGCACTGCTCATGTGAAGTTAGTGGTAGAATGGGACAAGGAGACAAAAGATTTGTGAGTATTCTTTTACTTAATATTTATAGAATTGTTTTACTTTAGGAGCACCCCATTGATCTTCCAAATTAGCTAAAATACAGAGCTTTCTTCTCTTCAGTATCTAAGCATATTGTTAATCCTTTATTTAAGCAGCTTAATATTTCTTTCTTATACATTTTTCCCAACCTTAAAGTCTTTGAACATTTGTTTACTACTGAGAGAGAAGCCATATATTCATTAACTACTGTATAGGTCCAATTTGATTTTTATTAGAAGTCCCTCTGCCCTAATAAGCTTTATCGAATGCTTGCCCTTAGAGATGAAGGACAAGAATACATGATTTAATGGCACAAGTCATGGACAGCCCCAGAAAAACTAACTCCAACTTAGTTCCTAAAATAACTTGCAGATGGAGAACTTTTCAAGAACACTTTGGGACATAGAAGAATTAGATGACCTCCTTTGCTTTCTTACACCTGGATCTTCATGGTTATGAATTCATAGCCACTTTGTAAAACTGTAATAATTGTACTTTTGTGTCCGTGTTTTAAGACATTCTGTGATAATGTCTTTCCCTTTAATTGTAGCTTATTTGTAAACACTGAAGATGAGTATATCCCAGATGCAGAAAGTGTCCGCCTGCAGAGGGAGCGGCATCATCAACCTCAGACCTGCACTTTATCCCAGTGTTTCCAACTCTACACCAAAGAGGAACGAGTAAGAGCCAGGCAGCATTTCTTGGGTACTGAGTTGGTAGGAAGGGGGAATGGCAAGATAACAGTAAAGAAACAGATTCTGCCCCTCAAAATCCCTAGGATTTTACATTTTCCTAGTTTTGAACATGCATTGAGTATTCTGTTCCTTTTAGGACTTCAACAAAAAGAAGTTTAAATTTTCGATTAATTGGAATGCTCTTGAAATGAACCTTTATAATTCTTTTTTTTTTTTTTTTTTTAAATCGGGCTCATTTTTTTTGGTTGTTTTTGTTTTACTTTAGAAGTTTTAAGTTGTTTTCCTTTGTAATGAAAACGGTGTTTCTCATTGTAGTACCTGTATGCTAAGAATGTAGTATCAGGACCTATTTAAATTAATTAAAGTAAAATGAAAAATTCAGTTCTTTTGTTGCACAAGCATCATTTTAGGTGCTCTGCCACAGTCTGGCTGGGCACAAAATAACTGAGCCGCCATGAGGCACTTGTAGGTACAAACAGGAACTCCTTTACTGACCGAACTCCACCAGCACTCCACGCGCACTCCTCGGGAATCCCCTGTTCTCCATGGGGCTCCGTGCAAACTCAGCGGGGAACCCCGTGAGAACTCAACGGGAACTCCAAAGGGGGGGGGGCGCCCAGGCAGCAGGAGCCACCCTATTGCCGGATTGCAGGGTCCATATACAACTCAATACATAGCCTGTTTCAATCCAGCATCATCCAGTCACAGCACTCCTTCTGGCAAAATGCCATGTGCCATCCCGACTTGGCTATGGCTCTCAACAGTGCTCAATAGACCCACATGGATGGCGCCTGAACAGAGCAGATGTAGAGTTCTGTTGGGCAGCAGTGCTTTGCACTGTTTAGCACAGTGCTCTGCAGATAGTAGGACTCAATAAATATTGAAACAAACAGATGGACACATAAGACTCTGTGGGAGGGAGCCAGCCTTGTGTGGTTTCTATGTGACTTTGGAAACCTAGACCAGAGCACATGGAGTTCATTTGATCTTATGTTGATACTTAGGATCATAATTTTGATCATTAGTTTCTAGTCTTTACTCCTGTACTTAGGGAATATTGCAATTTCAGGCTCAGAGGGAACTTTAAAGCACCTTTTTTCTAATGGTTTAATTATTCCACGTACTTTAAAATGGGTGACTGTCCAGCCTGTGTTTGAATGCTTTCTGTAATGAAGGGTTTGCCTGCTCAAGACTTGACATATCATTTCCTCTCTGGATAGCTCAAATGGTGACCCCATTGATCTTCCTAATTAGCTAGAATATGCTCTCATGAAATATGCCCCATATGAAATATGCCCCCATCTTAGTACCACCAAAAGAGGTGTTCTCTCTCTTGAGTTTAAGACTTGAAAGTCATAACTTTCTTGTACTTTTCTTCAAATATTTGAAAACAATTTTCATCTTCTCACAAATAGTTCATAGCTAGTTCCTTTAACAATAGTTTTTCACAAGACATGTTTTATCGGTCTTGGGCTTAATTATAAAATAGCTTTGAAACTGGTTGATTGCAGATTCTATGTGACACACTGTTCTATTTAGTTCTTTTTGTAAAAAATTGAGCTGAGAGCTGGGAGTGGTGGTGCACACCTGTAATCCTAGCAGCTCAGGAGCCTGAGGCAGGAGGATGGTGAGTTCAAAGCCAGCCTTAACAATTAGGGAGCGAGGCCCTAAGCAACTTAGCAAGACACTGTCTCTAAATAAAATATAAAAAGGGATGGGGACATGGCTTAGTGGTTAAGTGTCCCTAGGTTCAATCCTTTGTACCCTCCCCCCCCCCCAAAAAAAAAAAAAAAAAAGGTTTATCTGAGAGATGTTTGAGAATGGCACAAAGCTTAGGGGTGAGCAGATCTGCTAGATGATAGTATTGGTATCTACAAAACATTGCACAGACCTACAGTGATGAGTTCATACTAGCAAGATGTTTTTCTTGGGGTTTGTTCATTTAGATGTATTGAATATACCTGCTATGTGCTGGCTGCTGCGCTAGTCAGGGGATACACATGTCAAGACAGACATCCTGCTATCATGCTGAGGGGATAATTAATAAAGGAAGCAAAGGTCCTGGGGTAGGAGGGAGATTGGCATGGTAGAAAAACAGAAATGAGACCAGTGTAGCTGGAATACAAGAGGTAAGGGAGAGAGAATTAAGACAGTGTGAGCTCTATCTGGCTTTCACTAAATAATCTTGGTATCTAGAACAGTGCTTGGCACATAAGAAGTGTTCGATAAATACATCTTTGAATACATGAGTGGTACTTGGACCCCAGAATCCAGTACAAATACAGACGTAAAGGCGGTGGGACTTAGAATTAGGCTTTGTGGTGGTAGCTGTGGGGTCCAGTTGTCTGCAGCTCAGATCGATCAGCAGCACCACATAGGCGTAGGCCACTGTCGTGCTGCCGTATGGATACCCAGAACTCTGATAGGGACAGTGCTGCTCTCTTCCTCATATTAAATGTTCCCTGGTAGGAGGATGGCAAACTGGGACACATCCAGAGAGAGCTGGTGGGCTAGCACTGGAGGTCCTGTAGTGGCTGAGCACATCCTCCTTAAGGACCTGATAGTTATTTTCAGGCACTTGAAGGACTATCCTGTGCATGAGGGAGTGGACTTCCCTTTATATAAACAGCAGAATCTAAAGATTGGGAAGGGAACTTAGCAGAGAGTGATGTTATTTTCATGTCAGGAAGACTGGAAAGTAGACTTGCTGCCTACTGCCCTGTCCCCTCCCCACTGCCAGGCGGTGTCAGCTGGATCAGTGATGCTCAGAATGTTGTCTGCAGGTCGGGAACTCTTCAGCCACGTGAGATCATTACAGAACCAGGGAAAGATCGGGAACTCTCAGAGAAATTAGATGGTGTCATGCCATTCTCACTGTGTTTTACAAAAGTATGTTTGTAACATACTGTGATTTAAACAAGAAAACCCTGTTTACTTACTACCAACATTGGGCTGGATGGCCAGGTATGGGGAGTGTAAAATGTCACAGAGAGATGAAGGCTTTCCAGATGACACTGGGTCTGATTTTCTGATTTACTCTCCTCTCTCCAAACTTCTGTCCCTTCCCAGTTTTCCTTGTGATGGGAAAAAACCTTCCTTAATTCTGCTTCCTTCTCAGGTTCGCCCCAGTCTTCCTCCCGCTGTGTTCTGCTGAATTTACCACCAGTGGTTCCCCTCTCCCCATTCACTTGCTCCTTCCCTCCTCCCTCCCTCCCTGCCAAGACTCTCTCTTGTCCGACTTGCATTTTGGACCTGGGCCTGGGCGTTCTTGTGGCTCCTTGTGTGCCTCACTCAGCAGCCTCAGCTCAGGCTTCCTTTGACCCCCGTGTAGTTCATGCCCCTATGACCACCTGTTCTCTTTTCATGGAATGTGGAGAGGAAATGCTTCTGACTTGCCTGTTTTTTTTTTTTTTTTTTAACTGTATCTTCAGGCCTGGTGGCTTCTGAGTTTGAGTACTTCCTTTAAAAATATGCATCCCCCAAGATTCTGACCTTGGCGCCTTTATCTTCCAAACCCATGGGAACTGTCATCCATTCCCAAGGCTTCCCGTACCTCACACATTGATGAAACCAGATCTATCTTCTGAACTCCAGAGCATATTACAATTTCTCACATTATGGCACCTGTAAATGAATGTCTTCATCGTGAAATTTTTCCGTACAGAGATGACATGTGGATTTGGGGCCTCAGGTTGATGTTTAGAAGGATCTTGCTGGTAGCAGGAGGGGTGGCTTGTTTGGAGCAGGTCAGAGGTTGTGGGGGAGAACAGGAGACGTGAAGAAGTCTAGGTGAGAGTAGGTGAGGACTTGGAACCAAGGTGGTTCCAGTGGGGGTGGAGAGGAGGAGGCACGAGAAATGGCAGAGAGAGAATTACTTTGGATGGACGTGGACAAGAGGAGGAGGGAAATGGGAAGGTTCTAGAGTTTGGAATGAACCCATGTTCCATCTTTGGTGGGCAGTACTGGTGTTGCTGAAGTAGGACATACAGGAGCAGGAGGAAAGGTCCATGTTCATCATAAGATGAAGATTTGCGTTTGGAGCTCTGCTTAGTTGGGGTGCATTTGTGACATCTACAACCTCTCTGTGGCATTTACTAGTTTGATTATTTCTCCTTGAAGGATAATCTCAGCACTTGTTCGGGTGCCAACTCTAGCCAGGTACCAGCTGTGATTGTGTTACTCCATTGTGCAGTGTCTAGAGAGATTGTGCGTCGTGCCGTGCGCTGGACAAGAAGTTAGTACTTCTGTCTCCATAACCAAGTCATGGCGTTAAGGGGTCTGGAACTGAAGTCACGCTCCTTGTTTTCAGCTGGCCCCAGATGATGCCTGGCGTTGCCCACACTGCAAGCAGCTGCAGCAGGGGAGCATCACGCTGAGCCTGTGGACTCTGCCTGACGTGCTCATCATACACCTCAAGAGGTTTCGACAGGTAAGGGGAATGCAGCCGGGACCAAGTTTCTTACACCCCCTGTGGGTGCTGTAGGTGGGTTCTTTGGTGTTCCTGTTGATCCCCTGACCCTGTCTGGATGGTAGACATATATTTACCCCTATTTGGGTTTGTGTTTTGTTCTTTCTCAAAGCAAAATTTGAGCATCCTGTGACCCTTTAAATCTTGAATATTTTAGTTCATATTGCAGATATTTTACTTTGTTCTCGAGGTTTGCTTTAGACTTGTGAATGTTATGCTTAAATGTTGTTATGTTTTCTTTAGTATTTAAGGGGAAAAACGTAAGTAGAGATCTCTTCTGGGGGAGGTAGGATTGTGCGTCGTGCCGTGCACTGGACAGCCCTTCCCACTTCCCTCCTCTTCTTGTCCATGTCCTTCCAAAGTAACTTGTCCTGCTCCCAAGGAGCTATTGTATAGTTGGGGAGATGAGTCAAAAATATAAATATATACAAAGAAGCTCTGCTGTTTATTGTATTACTTCGTGATTCATCTTTTCCAAAAAGGCTATTCCCTGAGTCCAGGATTGCTCTAGTCAGCCCCACTGTAGGAGAGGTAAATGGGAGGTGAGCATTGGCAGAATCTGTGAGGCCGGCTTTAAGGTTTGCCCCTGAGAGATGAGCAGGTGTTTTCCAGGTGAGAGGAAAGCAGGGGTTCACACCTGTAGTGGCAGAAGGAGCAGTGTGTGCAGAGCCTGGGCCCAAAGGAGCGCAGCACTTGGAGGGGCTGAAAGTGGGCCAGCGGGGCTGCGCTGCGGAGCATGGGATGGTGGTGAGAACTGGGATAGGAGCAGGGCTTCTTGTCCAAACAGACCCTTAGAGGCAGTGTCGCATTCTGGCGAGGTCTTTGAGCAGAGAAGCAGCACTACTCAGTGTTTGTTTTTAAAAGATCAAGAGAAGCCGCAAGAATGAAGGCAGGGAGGCCTGGAGGAGGCCCCTGCAGTCATCCCGGAAGGCCATTGCTGGCTTCAGGTGGAGTCTTGGCCCGGAGATGGGAGGTGTGAATAGATGGAGAGGTGTTGGGCTCCGAGGAGACAGAGAGGAAGAGGTGACATGCGCTGGGTCCCCATGGCTGGGGTTTTCCCACCAAGGCTCAGAGTTGAATTCCTGTGGTAGAGAAGGATGACATTTCCCTGCTTACTACTGGGCTCTGCAGGTGGGAGCCTGGTTGAGGGTTTGGACCCCAGCCTTTTCTGACTCCCTGCTCCTTTGCTGTTGTTTCCCTTGACGTCATATCTACGTCCTTTCAGAAACCCAGACCCAGAAACGCAGCAGCGTCTTTCACTTCTTTCTGGGCCTTCTCCTCTAGGCAGGCACTTCTGTGTGGCTGTGGTTGTCTCCCCCTGACTCCTGATGTGTCTCCTTGTACCACCTGTCACCCTGCCAGCGTAGATGCTTTGCTACTCTCCAGTGGTCTCAGTTGCAGTGTCTTTGGGTTGATTTCTTGATTGTCGCCACTCTGCCCCTGTAACTCGTTCTATGTGCTGCTCACACAGTTCTTCACCCATGAGTTGGGAGACATCTCCTCCCTCATAAAAGCCTCAGCATGTCCCTTTAGCTACAGAATAAGGCCCACATTCCTCAGCCTGGCCTTCCTGGCTCTCAGGACCCTCTCTCCCTTTCGCTTGTGAGCGCTTTCCTTTCCTTGGTAGAGTTGAGCTCCTTGGGAGAGGCGTATCTAGGCCTGGTTAGTTTTAAAGTTCCTATGGACACAGGACACATGCAGTAAATGTCTGTTCAACTAGTGGTTGGTGTCAGGGGGATTTTCCATGGGCTTAATGGAAAGTGCAGGTTGACCAGCTGTCAACTAACTGAACATGTCAAACTAAGTCAGCATGAACTTTTAATGCACTTGTTGGAGGAGGTGGGGAAGAAAGGGATGCTGCTTATTGACTCTTCTGTGCAAGGTCCTGGGTCTTATCCTTCAAGTGGTTGTCACTGTTGATTTTCATGCCTCTGACAGGTATTAGGGTGAATCTTGTGAAATTATCAATTTTTTTGTAAGGAAAAAAACCTAAAAACCCTTAGTAGATAAGGAAATGAAGACTCACGGAGGCTCATTTACCCCCAGTGGTTAGGCTACTTTTAGTTGTGTTAAAACTGGTTCTTCCAACTGCTTAAAACTGTTCATCTATTATCCTATTTTATCCGTGTCTTGGGAACTACGTCAGTGATTAGGGTCCACATTCCATGCTCACCTGATTTGCCATGTGCTTATATTAAAATATCATCAGAACTTGTTTTTCTTCTTGCAACAGGAAGGAGACAGGCGTGTGAAACTTCAGAACATGGTCAAGTTCCCCTTGACTGGCCTGGACATGACTCCTCATGTGGTCAAGAGAAGCCAGAGCAGCTGGAGTTTGCCATCCCATTGGTCCCCGTGGAGGCGGCCCTATGGACTCGGGAGGGACCCTGAGGACTACATCTATGACCTGTATGCTGTGTGCAATCACCATGGCACCATGCAAGGGGGGCACTACACAGGTCTGCAGTGCGAGAGGCCCGCGTGTCTGTGCTCACGGCTCCTTCAGGCGGGTGTTGCTTGTGACAGGGTGACGTGGCTTTAGAACCTCCCTTTCTTTTCCTGTGGGCAGGGTGCCTCTGTGAGGGCAGTTTCATGCCACAGGTCTCTCCCCAGAACTCTTCCTCTTCCTCCTGAGCTGAAAGGCGCAGCAGCTACCAGGCCTGAGTGGCAAGCATGTGTCCTAGCACCGTCCGTCCGCTCTGCCGAGGAACTGCCCTCGCGCCCTGGCTCGCACTCCCCAGTTTAGGTTTTGCTCTTCTTCTGAGGTCCTAGCTTCTCCCTCACTTAGGGTGATTGTGAACTGCTCTTACAGTGTCTTCATTTACTTACCTTTCATTTATAAAAGCAGCCGTGTTCATCATGTGAAATTTAGAGACTAGAAAGAACACTATCATCTGTGGGTTGATCCCTTAAGCAACCCTTGCTAACATTTTAAAAACTGTGAAATGTGCATAACAAAATTTACTGTGTTAGCCATTTTCAGCATACAGTTGGGTGGCATTAAATACACCCACATTGTTGTACAGCCATCGTCACTGTCCTTCTCCAGGACTTGTTTCATCTTTCCAGCTGAAACTCTTGTCCTGTTATATAGTACTTTCCATTCTCCCCTCCCTGGCCCTGACAGCCCCCACACTCACTTGTCTCTTGAATTTGACTGTCATAACTACCTCCCGCAAGTGGATTTATACAGTGTTTGTCCTTTTGTGGACTGGTTCGTCTGTGTTGTAGCCTGTATCAGAATTTCCCTCCTTTTTCACATTGATTAGTGTTCTAGTGTGAGCAGGAGCCCCCTCACACATGGCAGCTGTGTTTTCCAGGGAGTTGGTGCTGTTATTCTACACTGGTGTGTGCGGTTCAGTCGAACGTTAATTAAACACCTCATATTTAGCTTGCAGTGAGCTCTATTACACTAGAAATGAGTAGGTCCCAACCTCCATCTTCCAGGAGTGTCATCAAACAGGGGAAGATGTAGAGACAAAAAAAACTTTTAAAAGAGCCATAACATATCCAGGCACAGTGGTGCATGCTTGTAATTCCAGTGGTTTCAAGAGGCTAAGGCAGGAGGATTTCAAGTTCAAAGATAGCCTCAGCCATTTAGTGAGTCCTGAACAACTTAATGAGATGCTGTCTCAAAATAGAAATAAAAAAGGATGTGACTCAGTGGGTAAGCACCCCTGGGTTCAATCCCTGGTACCCACCTCCAACCCCCTCACTTCCTGCAAAGAAAAGGAGCCATCACGTATAGTAGGTTCTGTGGTAAAGGTGTGTTCTGTGGTGAGCAGTGGGCTGAGGTGGGGTGCAGGAGCTGCACGTACCACAGTGGCCCCATATGTTTGTATCATTTAATGATGTCAGAGTTGTCTTTGTGGAACTAGGTTTCCAGGATGTTCAGACGACAGAATTGCCTAGTGTGTTTCTTGGAACATATTCCTGTCGTTCAGCAGCACATGACTGTATGGTCATCCCCCATTGCTGAGCATCTATATTATTTCTGGCTTTTAACCTTTAATCTAATAAGATGGACATCTTTCTGTATATGCACTTTTTCTGAATTTTAATTCTGTGTTTCCTTGAGATTGAGTCTCAGAAGTGGAAGTGCTGGGCTAAAAGCATGCATGAACCATGTGGAGGCCAGGCAGACCGTAGGGCTTCTTGTTTGGACATCTGTTTGTGTGAAGGTTGAAATGAGGGTGATTTGTTCATTTGGTATAGCTGGATATGGTTTCCAAGACTCAGATTTCTGCATTCTTTATACTTGTTGTATTTCACCCATACTTCTCAGGGATTTTATTTCTTCATCAACTCTGTCGTTTATGTTACAGTTGCCTACCTTGATTTTTAAAGGTAGTGGAGATGAAGGCAGGTTGGTCTCTTCCAATTGGTATTTTAAATCCCCGAGACTCTCCCTAGCAGCCCACCCTCCCTCCCGTCAGCATGGTGGAAGCAGGTCCTCTCATGTTCCTTTCTTCAGCCTGCTTTCCCCCCCAGCGGAAGGGTAGGAGGTCAGGAGAATGACTGGATGCAAGAGACTTCTTGTTGTTTGATTTTACTTTTTTGGGGGAACTGGAGATTGAACCCAGGCTTCGCACATGGTGAGCAAGTGCTGTGCTACTGAGCTCCATCCTCAGCCCTGCAGTCTCTTGTTCTTGAAACCTGTTTAGTTCAAGTTCTTTAACTATTTCAATATTGTAGGCAGCAGTTGTTTGTGAGAGGACTGTTCCCAACTTAGTGAGATGCTGTCTCATGATGGAGTGGTTTGAATTGCCTTGAAGCACTTGCAGGGAGAAACAGAAGGTAGGGAAGTTCCAGTCAAGCAAAATGTTAGTTAAATGCTTAAATGTATTTTACCTTTGTATTTTGGCTTAAGCCCAATTTAAATTGTGATGTTTTATTTGGTGTCTTGCATGTTTTGGGTTTCTGTTTCATGGGGGCCCCCTCTGTTAAGGTTGTGTTGAGTTGAATCGTTTCTCTTGTGGCATTACTGTAATATCTGTGTTCTTGGACACTGAGCTGTGGAATCATAGATTCATGGATCTTGAAACAGAGAGGGACTTAGAGGTGATTTAACTTTACTAATTACCTGATGTAGTCATGTCTTTGCCAACATCCCTGATTGCTGTTCATCCAACTTCAGCTTTGGTAAAGATGCCGTCTTCCATTTAGAGCACTGTTTATCAGGAAAATGTCGACTGGCTTGTTAGCATGCTTTCTAGCAAGAAATTATTGGGAAAAATAGGACAGTGATAGATTTTATCACATCGTGTTGCTCTTTACATAGAACAGACTTTGGAAAATGCCTGAAAAACCTAGAGGCAGTATAGTTTAATGAAAGCAGTTCTGGTTGGAAGCTGGACCCATCTTCCCAGCTCTGTGGCCTTGGCTATGTAGCCTACTCTGACTTGGGGACCACGGTGGGACCACGGTGGTGTGCAGGACGCAGGCCTGTCTTTCTCACAGGACGTGTTCCCTGGGAGGTGCTCAGATATTTTTGTTATTTCCCCTTTCCCATGCCTAAGCCACATTGTTGCTCTCCTGGTATACAGAATGTTAGAGTACATCTCAAATACCCCAGCACTGTGGGTTAAGGGCATTCTTTTGTTAAGTTTTCATTTGGAGTGTCTGTTCTGATGTGTTTTTGGTTTTGCACTGGGTCTAGCTGTAATTATGTGGTTTGTGTGTGGCTAACTTGTGCAAGGATCTAGAACAGAGCTTCTCAAATCATCTGCGATAAAGACCTTGTTTTTTCTATTTTAAAATTCCAATCCTTCACAAGCCAGCTCTTTTTGTAAAAATATAGCAAAACACTATGGCAGTACTGGATTGCTATGAAAGTTTTTGAATGCTTCTCCATTTTGGGGACAGCACCAATCTCCTGCCACAATTTGAGTAGCACTGGCCTAGGAAACACCTCAGAAGGTAGGGCTAGGAAGAAAAGCAAGTAGAATTATTTTGTAAATAACATTGTTTTCTCATTAGTGAGTTATTGTGCTGCCTTAGTTTCCACACCGTGATGCAGAGTAGACCAGAATTAGAGCACAGTTATCTGTCCCCTTCTCTTGGATGTCTCCCCACTCCTTACAGTTCTAACTCCCACTTATCGCCACCTCACCAGTGGGTGATGTATATATCAGGCCTGACCTGACACCACGTGAATGCTGTTTTTATAGCTGTTTGCTGCGTGTATCTTCATTTCTCTCCTCTTCTGGGTCTTGATGAGTTCACAGCTGCAGAGGACTTTCTTCCCCACATTTATAAATTCTTCCTCTGCTCTTCATTTGAGGACCTGTTTGGTATAGTAACCCTTCCCTCTCTGGGTCCCTTTCATCTCTTATAGTGCCATACTTAGAAAAGTGTGTGGCCTGTTAAGGGTTTACTCCTGGCGCCTCTCAGGACCTTAGGTGCCCTGTCCTTGGGTATACTAAGTCTGTTTCAGCATCCAGCTAAATGTTCTGGCACTCATTTATTCTCGCTCCAGTAAACGGATATTTTTAGGAAATGTGATAACAACGTGCCTTTTTGGATCAAGCTTATAAGATCCTTTGATATATCCTTTCAGGATAACTTGGTTTTGAGAATTTATTTTATTTTATTTTATTTTTTTTGGTGCAGGGGTTGGAACCCAAGCCTTGTGCATGCTATGCATGCACTCTACCTCTCAGCTACAGCCCCGGCACCAAACTCTTTCAAGTTTTTGTTTTTTCTTGCTGGTACTTGAACGCGCTTTATTTCTACCTGAGCTTGGGATTTGAGCTGGGAGAGGGCCTTGTGCCTTCATGAGCTTGTGTATTCTCAATTTGCCAGGGACCCTCTGTGGAGCGCTGTTGTGTTGCCCCCTAGGGAGGCAAGGCAGGGCAGGGGCTGAAGCTCAGGCTCCAGTATCATATAAACCTGAACTGAAGTTGGCTCTGTACTTCAGCAAATGCATGCGGGTGGATGTGCTGGGTAGTCTTTTTAAGCCTCTATAAAATTGGGAGTAATAGTAAAACAAATCTCAGGATTAAATGAAGTTCTTGGTTTACAAATGTTGAATATTAGATACTGGGTTAGTAGTAGTATTTCTCTTAATATTATTTTATATCTCTCATAAACACGAAATATTGTAATATGCTTATGTCAAGATTTTTTTAAAAAAATATTTGTTTTAGTTATACATGGACACAATATATTTATTTATTTTTATGTGGTACTGAGGATCGAACCCAGGGTCTCATATGTGCGAGGCGAGCGCTCTACCGCTGAGCCACAACCCCAGCCCCTTATGTCAAGATTTTTAACCCTGGAACTATTGACATTTTGGCTGGGTACTTCTGTGGTGGGGTGCTGTCCTGTACATTGTTGATAATTAGCAGCATCCCCAGATGCTGGGCACCTGCCCACCAGGTGCTGGGCACTTCCCCCATCCCTCTTCAGTTGTGACAGTCAGAATGTCTCCATTCTTGGCTAAATGTCTCCTGTAGGGCAAAATTGTTCCTGGTTGAGACCCAGTAGTTTAAATAAATAAGTTTATTGTGTTTTCTAAGGTGAAATAGAACTATATGAAATAATTCGGAATTTCTTTAAACATTGTTTGAGTGTGATATGGAATTTGGATTTATTAAAAGGTTTCTTTCTGTGTTACTACGTGCAGACTTAAAAAGTTCTTGAATTAGTTGTATAAGCCAAAGTAATGGTTTCTGGATGGAATGGAACAGCTGGCATGGTCTCCTCTGGTATTGACCATGGTCTCTTTTTGGCAGCATACTGTAAGAACTCTGTGGATGGCCTCTGGTATTGCTTCGATGACAGTGATGTGCAGCAGCTGTCGGAGGACGAGGTGTGCACACAGACAGCCTATATCCTCTTCTACCAAAGGCGGACAGCCATCCCGTCGTGGTCGGCTAACAGCTCAGTAGCCGGTAAGGCTGACTGTTGTTCTTGGGCAAGTTTTTCTAGAGCAGAAGATTGTAGTTCATGGTCTAGGGGATGTCTTAGAGACTTCATGACCGTCAGTTTGATCAAGTTAATCTTCACATTTCTCTTAGTCTGGAAACCAGCTTGATTGCAATTAAGGAAGTGGGATGGACTGTGTGGCAGCCATGGACCAGCACAGTCCACGCAGTGGTGGGCAGAGCCTGGCTCAGACAGCCTGCGCCTGTGCCTGTGGGATAAATGCACGGGGGAGTGGGTCAGTAGCCTGGCTGCTGCTTTCAGACCTTCTCCTGGGTTACCTTGGAGCATGGCCCACCTGAGCCACATGGTCATCACCCAGCATGGGTGTAATAGTCATAGTCCTCCCTCATTGGATCATTGCTTGCATTAAATTAGGTAATGGATGTGAGAACACTTTGTAAAGGGTCGATGAGTACCATTAGAAATAGTTCTTTTTTCCAATAAGATTGACTTGTTCTCTTTGGGAAGGGATTGATGATTGTAACAGATGGCTTGGATTTAGCCCGTAGGATCTAGCCTGTTATGTTAATAAGCATAGGAACCAGCACCCACCCACAAGACACATGCAGACACAAGACATAATCCAAACAAGGGCACATGTGCTTCCTGCTGTAAAGTTTGACTTTAAGAGAATGTGGCAGAGGACAAAACATGATACTGTGTTGACAAGGTAGGGTAAGGAATGGTGACCACTGATTGTCTCCAAGCCTGGGAGAGGTGAGTTCAAAGAGGCTGAAAAGATGCCTTCCTCAAGTACAATGAGCCCTGCTGAGCCAAACTCCACGCAGTGTGTAGCTGCTCACTTCCTTGACAGGAAGTGGGAACTCAGTTGCTCTGAGGCTTCCCTGGGTGCTCTACCAGAGTCAGAGATGCTCAGAAATGACATGCTCTTGTCTGCTGAGCCAGTAGTGCTGCTTCATGTAGTCAACCTCAAGAGCACTTTCTGTTGCACTATTGTATATTGAAGGGCATTTCTGGAACAAATAGGAGATAGGACTGATGGACCTGAAAGGACATGTGTGTGTGTTATTAATATGATAACATGGTTAACAATTTCTGTAAGGCGGTGAAGCTAAGAATAGTGCACATTGCTCCCTTTCTTCTCTGAGTCAAATCTTTCTACAGGTGCTCAGAATAGTTGCATGCTCTGTAGATGCTTAATCCATATTTGTAGAATGAACAGACATGAATTACTGTCTACATCCCCTCTTTTTGCCAACTCTTACGGGTCACATACTGCGTTCTGAAGTGGTCATCCCTGTGCTTGCATTTCATTCCTGTCTGTGTGCAGGAGCTGACTTCTGTTCTTCATCTTCATTGGGGTAATCAGCTCTGGGAGTTCACGGTGTCCTTAGGACACCAGATGTCCCCAGCTTGGCTTGCAGCATGTCCATGAGGGCGTGGGCAGTGCAGGCTGGCCACAGGACCCTGGCTGACCTCAGCTCCCATCTCCTTTTCTACAGGCTCCACAAGTTCTTCCCTGTGCGAGCACTGGGTGAGCCGGCTTCCAGGGAGCAAGCAAGCCAGTGTGACTTCAGCGGCCTCCTCCAGACGCACCTCCCTGGCCTCACTCTCCGAGTCCGTGGAGATGACTGGGGAAAGGAGTGAAGATGATGGTGGGTGTGGGTTTTGCTGATGGGTTTTCAAAACAGCAACATACAGACACAGTGCAGGGGGCCTCAGGGTTAGGAACAAAGTCCCACGGAGATCGTGGGAGAACTCAAAGTGGGTAGGAGTGGGGCTGCCTAGCTGCAGTTATGATTGTAAGAAGTAACATTGTTTATGGACATGGTCACTGGCTTTTCCTCTATGACCCAAGACTTTATACCACATCGTTATTTTCCACTTTTATGGTCTAGTGTGAGGCTGAAGCTTTAACTGTATGATAATGTACACATTTTTTTTTCAAAGTGCTTTTATAATTTTCAGAATGGCTGTAAGGGCTCAGTGAAGTTGTGCTTGCTCAGGACCTGGTGAGTCCTAGCCTGGCAATGAGGCCCCTGACAACTTCAGCTCCAGATTTCTTTCTCTGAGCGTAATCACAATATAAAAACTGGGCAAATCTGATTAAAAACTCAACTCTGAAGCCTTCACTTACCACTTGAGTAATGACAGGATAGACCTTGGTCCTAACAGGGACCCCAGGTGGTGTGGGAAAGATCAGGCAGCCACTGCACTGAGAGCTGGAAGGAGCAGAGGGTGAGCTCAGCCTCTGTAATGAGGGCGGTGACTCATCCTCCAGCGAGTCTCACTCTGCGGCCAGCATTTCGATCGCCATAATCTGTCTCTAGTGATGATGGATAATTCTGAGAAAATGAAATGGAGCTCAAAGTGCAGGAGGTTGGAAGAAGGTGGCAGACTAGGAGATCTGTGTCAGGGTTTCAGCTCTGCCATTTCATCTGGCTTACCGCTGTTTTATTTGTAAAATAAGAATATTGGACTATAATTGCTAAGCTCTTTCTAGCTCCTGACATTTTGTGAAAAGCCAACTAGTGAGCCTTTGCTTGTTTAGGTGGAGGTTATATTCAACATAACTTGTAAACTTAGAATTCACTGTCACTTTAATGATAAGTCTAGATATGGGTTGCCTCGATCTATTTTTAAACAGTGTAGTTGGTGGAATCAATATCCTCTTAAGCATTATCATCATTTAATGGTTCTGGATAGTGCCCACAGAACAGAGGCTGCCTCTTAGGAATTTATGCAGTTTCTTAAATGCCACAGCTACAGTATCAAGTATGTATAAAATTCAATTTAGAATATTTTCTTTAGAAGTTTTAAGACACTGCAAACTAACATATTGTTCTAATTATGAGGGTTTTCTTTGAAAGTGTTAGGTCCCTTAGGTTTGGTGCGGATTGTATCCAAGTTTCTAGTTCTTTCCATTGAAATCTCTAGCTCTTCTCCACTTTACTAGTCAACGATTGCAGACTAACTTACAGGTGGTATTTGAGCCAAGGGGTGAGGGGTTCTGGTATTAGCTCTGCCTTTAATTATTTGTGTAATCTTGGGCAGGACTTGCCTCTGTGAACCCCAGTTGTGCTTCAGGAGGAGGAGGAAGCTGGATGAGCAGCTTCCATTTCATGAGCATCTGAAGTGCCAGGTCTTCTGCCGGACACAGGACTTCTGAGATTTTCTTTAATCCTTGCAGTAGACCAGTGGTCAGCACACAGCATCCTGCAGCCGACGGGCCCTGCGGCCTGCTGCCTTTTTTCTGTAAAGTTTTTTAGAACACAGCCACGCCATTTTTTTGTTACCTGTGTGGTTGCTTTTGTGCTGTGGTGGCAGAGTTGAGCGGTCATCCATGCAACCTAACATACTTCTGGTGGGCCTTTACCGGAAGTATGCTGACCTGGAGGGAGAGCCAGGAGGTACGGAGAATGGTTTGCTTACCCCTGAGCTAGAAGGTTCCTCTTTTATAGATAAGGGAACTGGGCTTCAGAAGGTTGAAGTCACATGGCTGTGACCTCAGACAGGTGACACTGAGAGTGATACTCCCGTCGTTACATGTGGCCTGCTTTGGGTCCACCTTTACCTTCTTAAGATGTTACAGGAATGTTTTTGTGGGTTTAGCTTAACAGAATTCTCTCTGCCATGTTTAGGTGGCTTTTCAACTCGGCCATTTGTGAGGAGTGTCCAGCGCCAGAGCTTGTCCTCCAGATCGTCTGTGACCAGCCCCTTGGCTGTTAATGAAAATTGCATGAGACCTTCTTGGTCCCTGTCTGCGAAGCTGCAGATGCGCTCCAATTCTCCTTCCCGCTTCTCAGGGGACTCTCCAATTCACAGCTCTGCCTCCACCTTAGAGAAGATCGGGGAGGCAGTGGATGACAAGGTCTCCATCTCTTGCTTTGGCAGCTTGAGGAACCTGTCCAGCAGTTATCAGGAAGTAAGTGATAGTCACAGTCGACGAGAACACAAGGCTGTGGGCCGAGCCCCCCTGGCTGTCATGGAAGGCGTGTTCAGAGACGAGTCAGATACCCGCAAATTGAACTCCAGTGTTGTAGATACACAGAGCAAAAACTTAGCACAAGGGGATCGCTTACCTTCTGTCTCCGATGCATTTGATAACAATAACCAGATTGCTTACGTGGATCAGAGTGATTCTGTGGACAGCTCTCCAGTCAAAGAAGTGAAACCCCCAGGCCACCCAGGCTCGCTCACAAAGAAACCAGAGAGCACAACCAAGAGGTCCCCCAGCTCCAAAGGCACTTCTGAGCCAGATAAAAGCTTGCGGAAGGGGAGAGCAGCCTTGGCAAGCCAAGAATCATCTCTTTCAAGTACATCTCCTTCTTCTCCTGTTCCTGTCAAAGTTTCTCTAAAGCCTTCTCGCTCTCGAAGCAAAGCGGATTCTTCCAGGGCCAGTGGAAGGCATTCATCCCCTGCTCCTGCCCAGCCCAAAAAGGAGTCGGTCCCCAAGTCCCATGATTCCACATCGTCTCCCTCGCCACAGAAGCAGAAGTCGGCTTCTGCCCTCGCTTACACTGCTTCCTCTACATCTGCCAAAAAAGCCTCAGGCTCTGCCACCAGGGGCCCCTACCCTCCTGGGAAGAACAGGACTTCAGACCGGACCTTGAGTAGGGAGGGCTCCAGACAAAGCCTGGGATCCGACAGAGCCAGTGTCACCTCCATCTCCAAACCCAGCTCCCCTCGGGTGAGCCAGGCCAGAGCCGGGGAGGGCAGAGGTGACAGCAAGCACGTGCGCAGCTCCTCCATGGCCAGCCTGCGCTCCCCCAGCACGAGCGTGCGGTCTGGTCTGAAGAGGGACAGCAAGTCTGAGGATAAGGGGCTGTCCTTCTTCAAATCAGCCTTGAGACAGAAGGAAACTAGGCGGTCGACGGACCTTGGCAAGACAACCTTGCTGTCTAAAAAGACAGGGGGCAGCTCTGTCAAGTCAGACAGTAAGAGTGCCAGGGATGACAAGGCCGAGAAAGGCCACCAGCCTCCAGGCCCCCAGCAGCCAAATGCACATGCAGTTGGAAAGGAGCAGCTTGTCTCTAAGGACCCTGCCTCCGCTAAACATTCCCTGCTCTCTGCTCACAAGTCCAAGTCTTCCCAGCTGGATTCCGGACTTCCCTCATCTCCCAGTGGCAAGCAGCCTGCTGAGAAAGCCTCCAAAAAGTTACCTTCTAGCATGCAGACCTCTGCACGGCCTTCTCAGAAACCTCAGTGACGTTCCGCAGCCTAAGTGTTCTGTCTGTAAAGATGTTTATTTATTTAGCACCCCTCCTCTCCCACCAAAGCCCTCTGTGCTTTTGTTTTGTTATTTTTGGGGTCATGTGCCTGATTGTGTGTGCCTGTGCGTGCGTGAGTGTGTGTTTGTATGCAAGGAGAAGTCAGTTGTAAATTGTCAAAAGCGTCGCCTTATTCTGCCATTGAACCAAATAACAGCCATAGGCAAAGCATTGATACCAGGCTAACTGGAGTAATTATAGACAATACCCGGAGAGTCCCTTTAGCAATTGTATATATTTCTTTCTAGAGAACTCTAATGACTTTCATTGGACACTAGGGTCTTGAAACCTGTGAACCAGTTAAGCTATCATTAGTGTGTGGAAGGGTGAATTATTTGACTTGGGTTTCATCTGAGCAGGATTTGTCCACACTGTGGATTGTCGAGTGGCACCAGGAGCTCTAAAAACTGTGACAATAACATATGAAACAAACCGAGATAAAACTGTTGCTTTCTGCACTTGTGCCCCATTTACCAGTCTTTGTAAAGGGCAATATTTTAACACTAATGTTTCTCAGGTATCTATACTCAGCTAGTCCAGGATGGATGTGCACAGTAAATGGATTAAAGAGGAAGGTGACATGTGGGTGACTGTGTCATTTCTCCTACTGCCACAGAGACATTACAGAGGTAGAAGCAAAGTCTTAGACTACTTTTATCTCTGCAGAGGTGTGCAGCACCCTCACCTGTCTTAACTCTTGAGATGTGTTCCAAGAGGTAGCAAATTGGATAGCCAGGATCCAGTCACTAATTAAATTTTTTTCCTTCTACGTTTGCTAGCTAAGTCCATTTGGATTTTGAACTGTAGCAGAGCAGTTAACACCTTTGAAAGATTCCTGGAAAAAAATGCTTTCTAAACTGGAGGCATGAATCCTACCATTCTCCTGTGGTATTGCTTTTTCTGTTAGAAGCTGAAGGCTCCATGCTGCCCCCATCTGCATACTTGTGTCCCCTCATCTCATAGCTTGAAAAGGAAAGAAGTTGCTTCCTGCCAAGAGTCAGTGATGGTGTGTGGAAGCAGTGTGTGACACAGTATTACAGATGCACTTTGGATCCCGCTTGTCAGTTTTCGTTCTGACTGCTTTTCAGTAACTCATTTATATCTTCTTTGTGCTGAAGATGTAATCGCACGCCCAGACCTCACAAGCGGGGTTTGGAGTGCGTTCCATCTGGCAGTGTCAGTGCAAACTGCATTTCTTATATAGAAAAAGGAGCACCTCATAGAAATAGCACAGAAAAGCAAATCTATAGTTTTTCAAGCTCTCTGGAGGTCTCCTGGTAATCATTTCCTGCTTCAATTTTAGCTTTTGTTTTATTTGCTTTTTAAATATAAGGAGAATCATAATCCTGATTCTCCTTGAATAGCATTTGTCACTTTGCCATAAAATATAGAATGCTAAGTTTATGTTGTTATTTTTTTTTTATTATTGTTGTTGTTATTATTTTGGTCATAGACTATTCAGGTTCTTCCTGAACTCATGGTGCACAGATTTGTTGATAGCCTTCCTTTTCAGTATTGCTGTGTATGAAGTAACGACAACACATATGCATGCATAGCTGTGAATTCTGCCCTCTTTTTTTTCTTTCTTTTATTTTTTTCCATGAATACCTCTTGGGAACTGTTTCCAGGAGGTTACTTAACTTTATTTTGCTGCTAATTTGAGCATTAGCTGGTAACTTGCAAGGAGCCATTATGTTGAGGGTAGCTGGAATTTTCGACCCTTGCAGTGGTGAAGACTTGCTTATTCCACTCGTGAAGGTTACCGTAGTGCTCCATGTGACTCATTTAGCATGAGCCGTCACCCTGGCACCGAGCCCTGTACTAGACACTTCACTGGGTGTTGTCCTTGTGCTGTGTGGATTCAGTGGTTTCCCGAGCAGCGTTGTCCTGTGCTGTGGTCTGACTGTGGGGCTGGCTGCCTTTGATACCACCTCACCAACAGCCCCGCCCGTGTCAGCCACTGCTCTGGTTTTCCTGTATTGCTTTTATTTCCTGAAAAAGATGCACAAATGTGGGATCATCAATATCAGGAATTGAATGTTTGTCTAATTTGAACCTGTTGTCTTTGTTAGCAGGTAGATTTCATTTGAAATCTATCAGAAGCTCTAAAGCAGTCTTAGAATTATATTTTGGTTAGGCAGAGGGTTTTAATAACACTTTTTTTCCATAGTTAAGCATTAATAGAAACTAGTTTGATTCTTACAATGGTAAATATTTTTATTCGTGAGTCCTATAGGAATGGATTTTCCATTATGTGTAATGCCTTTAAGGAAAAAAAAACCTCTACAAATCTCTTTAATTTTCCATGGGATCTAGAAATAAAGTTTCTATAATATAATAAAATCTATAAACTATATGTCTATGGAATTTAGTCCTTGCTTCAGGTTTAATTAAATAGAAAAAAATGCCAGGAATATTATGGCATTGGCCAGGCATCGTTAAGCTTTCTATTTCCAGGGTTGGTAAACAATGAAAATTTCATTATTCCTAACGACTAGTTACAACTTTAAGCCACAGAAAAGGAAATTTTTCCCCAAAGTTTGAAGGTGCTCTTTCAGGTGGGAGTATTGTTACTTGGTTCAATTTAGTTCTTTGTTAGGGTCAAGGACTTAGTGTTTCTTTCTTTCTTTCTTTCTTTCTTTCTTTTTAATTCTCAGTGATATTTGGCACAGTGATCATTATGTGCTTTGGGGTTAAAATCATCTGCTAAGGGTCGTGGGTCTGGGTTTCTGGTTGACACCTCGATGGGCCTGATGACAGAAGTCCTTTCCTTGTAGGCACCACGTAGTCACCAACAGTAGGGTTGCATTGGGAATGTTTGCTTATTTTAAAAAATTATTCTTGATTTCTCTTTCTGTAAACATCCAGTGCACTGGGCTGTCTCAATTCTTAAGACAGCCCTGTGCCTCACCTTTGTTAACCCCCTAGAGAATATGGAAGCACAAGGAAACTGAGGAGCCCTTCCTGGTAGGCCCTCTCCTGCCTTTTGTATTTTCTCATCCTAAAAGCAGCCAAACTGAAAGTACGTCGTAGCACGCTGGCCCGGTAGCAGTGGAATTGGTTGGTTGTGGTGTGCTGAAATGCTGTAATTGTCTGTGAGGCTGCCCGAGCTCTTTTGTAATCCTTCTTTCCAGCCTTCATTCATTCTGCAAATGTTCACTGAGGGCCTGTTTTGTGTTTAAAGACCTGCTGAAGCTTCAGGAATTTGCTGTAGCCAAAGAGCCCTGCCAGCACAGCTCATGAGGCTGGGAAGGCTGGCGTGGGACGGAATTGCAGTCCTCTCGACAAAAAGATCTGTTGGATTCTGGCTCTGGCTAAGGCTCATGGTCCTCTTGAGCATGTTTGTTTTGTCTGGAAACCAAAAGTGCCCTTCATCTCTGCAGACATCCTGTTCTTCGATTTGCTGGTTCAGGCTGAGCTGCCTCTGCTATTGGAGGACTTGAAAATCCAAGTCACTTTGCATTAGAATTTGGTCATCCATTTGTCTTGAGGTGGATATTGGGATTTTTCTCTGGGTTTGGGGAATTGTCATCCCTCTAAATGAACTATCATGAAAACGTCAGGAACAGTAGTGGCAGCTTAGGGCAAGTGGAGCAGAGAACAGTGAACAAAGCTTATTTATTTCAGAGAAACACGTTTTTAGAAGTAGATAGACATCTGATGTTACATTTCATTCTGACAAATTCTGAACAGCTGAAGTTATTGTTTCCTAGGTAAGTTGTTATTGGTTACGAAGGTAGTGTTTCTGGGTTGAATTTTTGAAATAGTATGCAAATCATAAGCACAGTTTAAAATGTATTCTGAAGGCACATTGAAGCTTATATTATTTGGAATTGAGAAGGGTGAAATTTGTTGACAAACCAGTGCCTGTTGTAAACACAAACACAGACAGACATAGCTGTGAGTGTGCACGCTGTCTTTGTCTTTAATTTCATGAAGGCAACATCATTGTTAAACCTGAGTGCCTTTTTTCTTTTTTTTGGGCAGGGGAGTCCAATGCCTTTATTTAACAGAACGCCCAGTGTCGCCCAGTGTCTCACGCTGTCTTTGGATCAACTCCCCAAGTGTTTGTTTTTGCAGCCACATTTTGGGCATGATCACTCATGATTCCCCCAGTAATGGAAAAGGTCTTGCATGCCCTCCATCTAATCCAGAAAGCATGCTCTTATTACCTATGCAAGCAACCAACAAAGAAAGACTACACTAAATGTTAAGCATTAAAAAAAAAAAAAAAGCAACTCTTAGATTATGGAGCTCTATTTTTGAATTTGTAATTTTTCAAATGTGGCTTAATCCTCAGTGTAGATGAGCATGAATGTGATCTCTTGGTTTGCTTCGCATCTATTTCTCTTTGCCAATTTTTTTTATTATTGGTGAGATTGTATGTAAAGTAATAAGTATTTTGGAAGCAGGAGTGGAATTGGAGATACTGAACATACACTGGTGTATATACTGTATTTAGCCTGAAGACTTTCCTAAAGTATTTTGTTCTAAAAATAACCTGCCATTTTCTATAGATTTTAATTTTTTATATCTTCTAGGGTTCTATCGTGGTCACAAGGAAAGAATGTGGCTTCAAATAGTGCTAACAATTTTAAAATGCTTTTGTAGAGACTTGGAGCTGTTTTGGAAAGCTGTGGAGCTTCCCACCCACTGGTCCCAGTGAGAACAAGGCTGTGGAATTTATGATAGTGTTGTGCAGTGGATTCTGATCTAGATCCATCTCATATTCATTTAAAAGCAGTGTTTCCCAGTGTGGAGGAGAAAGGGGTTTATGGCAGACTTGAGAGCCACTTCTGAATGACTCATCTGAGATTGTGATACCCAGTATTTACTAGAATCATCTAAAGAACTTTTAAGCCTGGGACTCCTCCCGAGCTTTTGATCTAGGTAGTGTAGGAGCCTGTCCCAGGAACCACCATTACAGCTCGTAGGTGTTTCTGATTTGTAGTTGGAATTGAGAACCACTGCGATACACCCTCCGTTTGCCTAGAATTATGGTGATAATCACTGCCATATGAAGTCTCAGGAGTGATACCAGTTGCTCAGTTGTGTTAGGGAGGAAAATATCAACCTCCTGTTTGGAATATGAGGCCTTTCTGATTCCAGGCCTGATTCGGGAGGTGGACGGCTTGGCATTTCCCAGCCTGGTGGGAATTGGTGGTCTTGGGGTCTGCATCTTTCTCCAAAGTCTCCCCACCAGATTTCATGGTGGATCAGAAACCAACCCACTGAGGAGAAGGGAAGTTCCTCCAAGTGAGAATATTTGGGAGAATTAAAAACACACATACACAAAAACAACCTTTCTAGCCTTGGAAGACCTGTCCCTGCTTTTGATAGAACGGTTGCCTTTTTGTAGTAATTGAAATAGCAAACCCCAGGCTGCTGTACTCAGCTCATTCTCTATTGTAGCTCGCTCTTACCCAGAACGTAGTTTCAGGAATTCTTTTTAGTTTGAAAATGAATGTGAAACATTTTACTTGGAATTTTTTAATTTTTGTAACCCTCATTGCAATTTTTTTCGTGTAACTCAAGAAATACTCATCCAAAAACTTGGCAGTATGTTACCTATGGAGGCATATGACATTTAGTTTTAATCTGCGGTGAGCTGAATGCACTACAACATCTTCAAAATAATCTGCTGGGCTCGGGTGGTTTCATCCTGTCAAGCATTATGCTGCCTACAAAACGAAAAGAAACATAATTTACCTGGTATTTTCAGCATTTCAAGGAGTAAAGATAACAAGGAAATGTTTCTTTAGAAAGGCCTCCCAGAGGAGTGAGCTCTGTGGCAATTGGTAAGACGCAATATGAAATTTCCTAGGTGCTATTCTACACGTTGAGGTTTCATTAAACCAAGGGGAAAGGCAATTACGGTATTACCCAAGTTGAAGTTCTCTTTGAAGGCCTTTCAGGTATGCATTTGTGTTCAGGTATGGATTTGCCCACCAACTGTGCCTCTCACCACTGGTTAAAACTGAATTCAAGTCTCATTACCAGAGTAGTTACTTGGTTGAACTTTTCCATATTTACGCTGTAAAATCTGCATGTATATCACTGTACACAAAATGCTTCGGTATTGTTCACGCACCGTCCATAGTTCTGTGTAATTTTCTTTAGTTATACAGAAAAATGTAAGGCAGGATGTCTTTCCTAGAGGCTGGAAGAAAAGTGTATCATACATTTTAAATTATTTTAGGCCAGTGCATGAGATGTGTCACTGACTTCTGTTATTTATTTGTATGTTTTATTATTCAAGGTGTATGCACTTTTAAGAAGCAAAATTTATATTTTTATGTTTAAAACGTTTTATTTCTGAAACAGGAGTTGATTATATAGTATACAGTTGGAATTAAGAGAAAAGTGGAAAATGTAACAAAATATAATAAATTTATTACGTGATGCCCTCTTCAAGCCACATTCCTCTTTTCTCCCCCTTGCCAACCAGTATCTATTTGGTGTTGACTAATGATATTTGCACTACATCAGTCTATACAAAATGCCTCAAAATTGCCATGTTAAATGTCCAAAAGCATGTTACAGGATACGTACAAAGACCCTCTAAGTAAAATTACAAGAAAAGGCGCACATCCACGAGGATATAATCTGCAAAGTGATTGTTATTCCCGTTTCCTCCCCGATGATCTGAGGTGTTTTGTCCTGGGCCAGGGAGCTAGACCAGAAGGAACTCACCTTCTGACTCTGTTCCAACAGACTTTTCAAAGTTTCCTATTGTTTTTTCTCTCCTACCAGATGTTTATGATAGGAAGAAATGGCAGCATAAAAGCGACCATCCATTTCTTGGTCCTCTCCTACTCCCATGTGTTTAGAATCTTGGTTTTTTCACTATCCTGCTCTGAGGATGTGTCCTTCCTATCCTTCCAGACAGAACTCCTTGCTGAGGATGTCACATCACTTATGACCACTTGGGGGCAGTAGAGATCACCATTGTCAAATGTATTTAAAAATCCCAGTCTGCAGGTGCTTAGCCTCTGTTCTCTGAGTGTGGCAATGCTAATTCCATATGAAATGAGAAAAGCAGCATCAGTGAGCAGGATTTCCCTTCGGGTGAGTACCAGCCATCCCATGTTCCTAGAAACTGGTGAATACAGATCATAGAGCAGATCTTGTTTTCCTAAAGACGTTATTATGGTTTAGGGTAGGAACGGGGAGATGGTATTTCTAACCAAGGACTAGTGTGAGCCACATCTGAAAACCAGAGGTATAGATGGCACTTACAGCTTCTCTTGTTTTAAATGAGGCAATTTTACTTTAGGTTTTGTTAGTTTAACCCCACAGTACAATGATTATTCAGGAGGCTTCACTATGCCTAAAAGTGTTCACATGTCACAAAATATATAGATTTGATAGTTATACAGATATTCGAGGATCACTTTGTATGTCTCCTTAGGACTTGGAGGGGTACTTTCAAATACTTGGTGTCTCTGAACACTTCTGTGCCTTTCAGTTCTTCAAGAAAGGTGTGACAAAGCCCCTTGCCCTGGACCCAAGTTTCTGAGTGTTCAAGTGCCCCAGGAGTGATCTGAGGCCTGACTCGGCTGGAATGGCTGGAGGTCTGTCCCCAGCCCCGGCACCTGCTCCCTGTCCCTAGACAGACTCCACGGATCTTGGGATCGGGGGGTTATCTTGCTTTTCCTCTGTGGCCCATTCCTCTCAGCATCTCCACATGGCCCTGATGGTTGGCCTCTGGGTAGGTTGCACCCCCTCAGCAGAATCCTTTGGGATTCAGTCTTGATTTGGTCTGGTCTTGGCCATCCAAGTTTTTCGCACTCTGCCAACATTTGCTGCACAAAGTGGGGACAAGGGTTCTTTTTACCCAACGTGATGAAATTTGGCACATGCAACCCAGTGGCCTTGCACCCCGTTTTCAGGGGTACGTTAGGCCTGCTCTTTGGATTTATAGCAGCCCTATTTTTCTTGAGTGTGGGAAAGTGGTATAAATGAGACCACAGTGATTAGTCCAAGTCAGGCCTCCCTGCCTCTGGTGGAACCTTGGGCATGTGACATCCTCTCTCTCTCTCTCTCTCTCTCTCTCTCTCTCTCTCTCTCTCTCTCTCTCGTGCCTTCCCTTTGTTTAGGAAGGACCCATAGCGCCTGCAGTATACGTATCCAGTTCAAGGGACATGGTGACGGTGTCAATTATATCTGTCCTCTTGAGGGGCATGGAAGGCATTGGGGATGGAGCAGTGTGACTGAAGATGGACTGTACCGGCCTTGGGTTCTGAGTCCACAAAAGTTTGCACAGAGAAGGTGTCAATTTGCTATCACACCCAGAATTGAGTCCAGGCCCAGAGTGGTTCCTTAGTAAATGTTCACATTTGCTCAATCAGTGGGTTGACTGCTTAACCCTTTTGCGTTGACCTTCCTGTCTGGAAGATGGAGAATAAAGGTACTTGCATCATCTGGTTGTGAAAAGCTTCAGTGGGAATGAGGCTTAAAGGATGGAGCACGGTGCTGAGCTCCGAGGCAGGGCTGGGGAGTGGAGGAGAGGGCAGTGGAGAATGACTCATATTCCAGGCAGGAAAAAGTGCTATGCTTTCTGGAAACCTGCTAGAATGCAGGGCAGGAAGCAGCGAATGAAATGGGTGCAGGAGGGACATTTTATGACCTGCTACATTTGTTCTGAAGTAAATGACAATCCAGGGTGAGATTTTAATTTAGGAGAGAGACGATATCCATTTTATGCCATAGCATGGTTACCATGACAACAACATGGTGTCACCAGAGAGCCTGGTTAGCAGTGTGTGCCAGAAATCTGGGTGCAGGGTAGGAAGGCAGACGTAGAGCCTGTTTCTCAAACACTGGGCCCACTGCTGCTAGAGCAGTGGGCAGGCGATGTGCTCACCTAACGTGCATACCGCTGGTCACCAGGCCTGTGACCTTGACTTGTTGGCTGGACAATCAGGACAGGTTACTCAACTTCTCTGTGCCTCAAAACCTGCACCTGTAAAAGGATATCTTTGTGACCATTGTGCAGCTTAATTGGGGAGGTTGGTTTATTTATATTTAATGTAGTTTTGAATGTATTTGGTTTTATCTACATATTTATCCATACTATATTAGAATTGTTTATTATTTTAATAGTACTTCTCAGCCTCTGAAATTCATTCTTTGGTTCGTCATCCCTCTCCCCCAGTGTAACGTAGTAGTTCCCATGACAGCAGAGTCTTTGGTCTGTCTTTCCTCCCATATGAGTCTTGTTCTGAAGGCTTTCAGCTCTGCCTAACAGAATGTCCAACCAGAGCTGGCGCCCTGTTTCAGTTTTGCACGTATGTATACCAAGGTCCGGAGAATAAATAACCTACCTCTAAATCGCACAGTAATGAATGGAAATCTTGGGTATGGACTATGAACTTGGGCCTATTTTACTTCACAGCTTGTATTTTGTAACTTATTCCTCCAACACCCTACACTAGATTAACAGGAAAATTTAATAATGAACATAGCCAACTGCACTTGGTAATACAGTTATAGGAAGGGGGCCCCCTTGGATTGGATATAATCTTTTTCTTTGCAGTCCCTGAGTAAGGTGTACTGCTGCAATTCAGAAAGTGGTGAAATTTCTACATTTTGGTAATGGAATTTCAGAGCGCCTCCTTGGCTCGAATTTTTTTTAAAAAAATATACAGAAGGGCTGGGGTTGTGACTCAGTGGTGGAGTGCTTGCCTAGCATGCATGAGGCACTGGGTTTGATCCTTGGTGCCACATACAAATAAACAAATAAAATAAAGGTATCGTGTCCATCTGCAACTAAAAAAAAAATTTTTAAAAATGTACAGAAAATTCGCAAAAACAATTTCAGTGAATTCCCATACGCCCTTCAGCCACCTTCCCCGAGTAACAGCAGCTTGTAGCACAGTGATCAAAACCAGAAACTAAGTCAGAACAGTACAGATGATGTGGATCTTACCCATTTCTCCATTTAGGTCTTTTCTGTCTCAGAATCCAATCTCAGATCCCACACTGCATTTAGTTGTCTTCATAACTCCTCCAGCTCCTCCGTCGTTTGTGACCTTGACACTTCCAAAGAGTACCAGCTGCTTACATAGGACGTCCTTCCATTTTGGGTCTGTCTCATGTATTCTCATGAATTGATTGAGGTTTTGCTTTTTTTTTTTTTTCCTTCGGGCAAGAGTACCACAAAAGCAATGTGCCCTTCTCGGTGCTTCAGGGGGAAGGAGGCGTCGATAATGACTCTGCTGGTGATCTTGACCTTGATGGCTTGGCTAAGGTGGGTTTCACCGCTGCGGAAAGTTGCTCTTTTTTTCATCACTATATGATCTGGCAGAGATCCTTTTTTTAGGCCATGCAAATATCCTGTTTCTCAAACACTGGGCCCACTAATTTTAGCATCTATCAATGTGGACCTCACCTGCAATGATGTTTATTACTGTGGCTTTCTCATAGTGAAAGCTATTTTAAAATACCCACTTGGTGAAAAGTCCAGAGTCAGGGCAGGTGCAGAGGTCAGCTCAGTCCTTCAGGGGGTGTCATCTAGGACCATGGCTCTTTCCCTTCTCTCCGCCACCCTTGGCACACTGATTGTCCTCAGATTTGGCCTTCTGTGACCGATAAAGTTCTGCAAATGTGACAACATCCAACTGAAGAAGGTGGGACCTTTCTCTACCCAGGTCTTTTTTCACCAGAAAGCAAACTGGTTCCCAGAACCACCTCTGCTCTCTGAAAACCTTCCTGCAGATCCCACCGAGCAGAATCTGGGTCACCAGCCCATGGCCAAGGGGCATGGAAGGTGAAGGAGGTATCTGGTGCTCCCAACTGGGATGGGGGAGGGGACCCCGGCACAGATGACCCACGGGACCGTGAGTCTTGTGGAGGCAGCCACACGGCGCCATCCTGGCTCCTAGGGCAGTGCCTGCCTCTGCCAGGGCTCAGCAAATCTTGGTGGAGTGCATGGGGTTCTTCTCTGCTGCCTGGAGTTTTGGGATCTACGGTTACCCAGGAGCATCAGAGCTCTTGACTGTGGAATCCAGAAGACAGCAAGTAGGAGAATGGATCAGGGGACTGGAGAGGAAAGAGCGACAGCCCTGGTGGCCAGGGTGGGTCCCTGGTGGGACAGTTCCCAGCTCCACAGTGCCCTGGGTTTCGTGGTGCCTGGGTCTCCAGCACAGTACTGCACCTCTGGTCTTTCAGTGCTTCTACCAAAGCCCTAGAGAGACCTCAGGTGGCATTTTGGAAGGAAGGAAAGCAGTTCTATGCCCAACCACCCTGCTCCCAAGGTTGACCAGAGGGAGCGGGCGACGGGAGGGCTGTGCCCCATGCACTCGTGAGTCTTGCTCTGGGGGCCTCCAACACAGCCTGGTAGCTTGTTTGGTAAATAATGACATTGTTATAAATATTTAATAAGTCAAGGGACTGCAGTGCATGAAAAATTG